ATGTCATAATGCATACACACATCTTGATTCTTGGGTTAATAGTCATTCTTAGCATCTCAAAGCTTTTCAAAAACTGGAGACTGGAATTTAGCCACAAAACTCTGATCAGTGCATCTCCTAAATGCTTCCTTTCTTTATATTTACAGAACACAAAATGCTGAACTAAATTATCATTACCTTTGAAGTTGGCTGTGAGCTCAGAGCTGCCCTCCACAATGTCAGCGGTTATGGGAGCAGAAGGGCAGGCCGACTGCAGAAGTGAGAGTATCTGAACATCAATCTCACCTGGAACAGACCATGAAACGCAACTGTTTTTCTTTTTCAATTAAATGTTACAGTTCAGCTCAAAGTCGTGAATTTTCTTTTTTTGAACGGCATCACTCTCTTGCTTCAAAGACTTGAATCTTCAAAGACACATACACAGTTACAAAGTCGGCCTTCTATCACCATCTGTCATTGCTAGGATTACTACTAACGTCCAAGCCAGATCTAGAGGAAGTCAGTGTGTTTATCTATAGTCGCATTGATTACTGCAACAGTGCCTTCACAGCTCTTCCTAAAAAGTCAGCCAACATCTTTCATTATGACTTCTTGACTTTTTTTTTTTCTTTTTTAGGTTCCTGGGTATTAAACTAAAATGAGTCTTTTGTTTTACTTTATGACTGAATTGTAAATTATGTTGACAGCAGTCGGTTAAATATCTAAAGGACATGCATATTGCTTTTCTTCTTATCCATATCTTTATGTGCAGTCTTTGCTCTGAAGCCTTCTAGAGCAACTATTGGCCAATATTGATCTGTGAATGTCAGAAGTTAATCAGTGGTTCGGTTTCTCTTCATTGCCCCTCACAGGTTGTCAATCACTGGGGCCTTTTTGAATAAATAATTAACTTGTAGTTTAAATCTGAAACGTTTTACCATACCTCCCCCACTCCCAACACCTAGAACATCCAGACTGCTTTTACCAGCTCCAATTCTGTAAAACATATTCAAATATATATTTTTAAAACACAACAAAACCAGCTAAAATAATGAATTTTAAATGAAAGCACTGAACTACGAGTCAATAATTAGGTAAACAAACAATTTACTATTTTTCTTATTCATTCAATGCACAATTTTCTATAAGTAGATAAATCAGAAAACATTATAAAGTTGTTGTTTTTTTTTTTGGTTCCACTTCTTATAATAAAGGACCAAAGCGCTCTAATGCGCATCTGCGACTAACAATGAAGACGACAAAAATGCATGAATGAGTAGATCGCTCCTTGTACCTTTGAAATTCTGCAGGCAGGACGTTTTGCAGACACTTGACGATGGCTGCGTGCTCTCCGGACTTTTCCAGGTAGAACTGGAAGATGTTGACGCTGCAGCCTTCATAACAAGTGTGCGTTTCTGCACTCATGACTTCACCCTGCAGTACACAAACCAAACACTTTCATCCACATTGTAGGCTAATTTAATTTAGATAATGTGAAAAAAAAATACCTTAAATTTGTCTTTTCTTCGGGTTTTTTGTTTTGTTTTGTTTATTTTGGGAGTTAGGAACAGGAACACAATGTGCAGCACCGCTTCCTTATATTCACGCTGCAGGACTGATCCCCCGCCCAGAAGGCTGGTCGTTGCATTACGTAACTATGGCTCTAAAAAAATAAAAAAGAAGTCATCGTAGCTGTTCTGCTAACACAGAAACGGGTTCCTGAACTTGTTTGGTCCTTTATGTTTTGGTAATTAAAGGTTCTTGTCAGAAATCGACAATCTAATGTACTTTTTTTTAAAAACAAATACTTTAATTGCCATGAAAGTAGTGTTTACTGTCATAAAAGTGTGAATGTCGTATTATGTATCTTCAAAATTAACAGAAACATTTTTCCCACTTCTGTGACTATTATTTTCTATGACTCTAAGAGGCTGTTTTTTTTCTTCTGTTTTTTCCCACGCACCAAGGTCTGGTCTCACTTAATGTCTTTTTTTTTCACCACGGAAAGTTTCGCTATCAACCTTGTAAATCACTGAGATCTGCTGGTTCTGCTCTGCATCTCCAGAGTCAGAACCAAACACAGAAGAAGCAGCATGAGTTTTTAAATTCACTTTCAGAAAACTGAACAAATGCTTCAAGCAAAAGCCAATTTTTTTTAAATTAGCTTTTAATGATAAATTGAACATTATTGATTTCACTTGTATTTCATTTTTGTAATATAAGTTCCTTTCCTTGATTAAACCATTGCAGTGTAACTTCTGTCTGATGTTTCATGTCTTCATCATACTCAGCTCTTTGACTTGCCATTGTACAGAAATGTGCAAAAAAAACTTAGCTTGCCTGTTGGTTGGGACTAATTATTTCTTTAGTTGTTTTTATATAGTTGTAATTCCACTGCCAAAAGTTTCTTGATACTCAAACTTACTCAAAATCAACTGATGGGTTTTTTTTAAACTCTCAGAACATTTTTTTAAAAAGGGTCAATTTTGAATTCCTCTTTTCTTCCAACGTAAAAAGAAAATCCAACCAAATTGAAATTCCTTCTCAGTTATTTTAGACTACAAGAAAAATGACCAACCTCAAATGAACATATTAAATATTAAATTAACAATGAACTAAAACTTGTTTGTCATTTTTGGTTTCTGATGAGAACTTCAAACTGCCCAAAGATGCACAAACTAGAAACTTAAAACACTGTTCATTTTGAATATTTCCTCTGCCTTCAGATGGCACCAACGTCACTTTTTCTGGATTGGCAGCATTAAATGTGCCTAGATCTTTTTGCTAAATGGTTTACATTTCAGAGACAAGAAAATATGAGATTGTTTGAATTTTAGATCACAAGCAAGTCAGTGACAGGAATCCTTGTATTTGCCCAAGACATGCTGATAGTTTTGGAGCATTGGCCTTCATTAGGACAGCTAGAAACAACGTGGGAGAAAATGGGACACTTTTAGTTTTTTTCTTGTATGGGTATTCTCTTTGTATTCATTTAAATAACTAAAGGAAATTTCTCCAAATTAAAATTTCCACTAATTTATCACAAAAAAGGGATGCATTTCAATTTAACATTTTGTATTTCAATAATGAAAATCAAATTCTATAATGATTTATGAAATACACTGCAGCTACCAAAGCACAGATGGAAAACAGTGTGAGGGGAAAAACATACATCTAAATCTGCCTTTGGCTTTTTAAAAATATTCTGCATTGCTCATTGATCTTGCAGGAAACTGATGTATTATATGTGTCAGCATGAGAATCTACAGTGACATAAATTTGAATCCCATGAAATGGATGACAGGGCTACACATTGGTGGCAGTGGGTTCAATAGTGATCCACTATTCTACCAAGTCTGGACTAAAACACATCACAGGGAACGACACGTCATGAAATTTATACATAAATGTAACTGACTAAATTTAAAAAAATGCAAAATGGCTGTCTGACAAAATATGTGTTGCTTTATTTGTTGCTCATTTGTGGATTACACAGTCACCAGGCTAAGACAATAAAAGAGCCATTAGTCATGATGAGGTGATTTCTAGGTGATGGGCTTTCCTGGAAGTGTTGGGTTTCCAAATCAAGTTTTACTTCATGCTTGTCTGGTGAGAACTTAGAACAATTACTGCAGATTAACCTCAGAGAAAACACAAATTAGTGTTGATTATGCAGTTTAGGGTTAAAATTATCGGGATGTCAATTTTAAAGCACAGCACAGTGATCATTTTCCCTCCAGTAACTATTGTTGCCCTCAGGAGGGTGCCAGAGGTTCACACATCTGCCTCAAGGTCTGCATCAGTAGCATTTATTGAGTTCATTGCAACTGTGGAGGGAAAGAAATTCACGGCAATATAAATAATCCATGTTTTATGTGTCTCACATCAAAAACTCATGAACATCTAAACAGATTCCACATTCCAAGAAAGATCATTTTGTGTCGACGGAAGAATAATGTTGCTGCAGTATGAACGGCTGGTGGTGTTACATCAGTGAGGCTCAGCAGTTTAGATTATAGCACTAAATGTTAAGACATTGTGTTTCACTGTGTGGGATTGCTTCAAATTGCAGAGACATTAAATTGCCATTATTTATTGGTTCCAAGTAAAATGATAAACTTCTGAGAAAATGAATTTTGTGTTTTTAACTGTAAGCCATCAACATCAGAACAAGCAGAAATAATTTCTTAAAAATGATCACTCTGGTGGTAATGTCTTTATATAATGCAAAGACATTACCAGGGCCTCAATAGTGAACTAATTTCTATGGTACAAGGAGTTCCTAAGATGAGAATCGCAAAACTAGATAATGAAGGTAATTTGAAGGATTCTTCTTTTCTTCGATTTCAAAGAAAACATTAGCGCTGTAAAATACTGCAGTGTTTTGCCTTTTTCTGAATATTGTGAGTGTGGTTTTTACTGATTAATAGAAATAAAGGTGAGAAATTACATTTTTAATACACAAGAGCATGGAGTAATATTTCCAGTAGGCAAGTGTAGTTTCTATTAGATTTTGCACAACACTCATTAGCAGCACAAACTTGTTCTTAGAGGAATTAAAGTAGAGAAAATTTTACAAAATACAAAAGAAAATTTCTTCAGCATCTTTATATTGTTCCATACAACATACTTAAATGAATCATTTTGTCTTTTATCCCCTTCCATGTACCAACAAAACCGGTTACTCACCAAAATAATTGATCATTTATGGTGAAGTTGAAAAAAAAAAAAAAAAAACTAAAGTTCTATGTGATTGTTCAGATTCGTCAGTGAGAGACTCCTTATCTGAATTCAGAAATACAAAATTAAAGCTGCAACATAATTTTTCTATTAGCAACAAACCCTGATTATTTTTGCAAGTAAATTAACTAACAGCTAAAGAAAAGGCTCCCAGGAGCAACTGTGTTTTCACTTACCCAGTTCAAGTCCTACTAGAAACAATACTTCCAATCATTTTAAAACATAATGCACAATTACTTTAAGCTTATCTGAATTGATTCTCCATGAAAAGCTAATTGTCCAGTTCTATATTTATTTGTACAGTTGGAATAAAACGCTCCCGGAGAAAGCAGCAGTATGATGGGGTCTGGGCAGCAGCCTGCCAACAGCAGCTCATTACAAACTGTAATGACCGGATAAAAATCTAGTGTCTGTAACGGAGTAAGAATGATCTTTGATGTCATAATAATACAAGTTTAATCATAAAAATTGAAAGGAATACATTAATTTATTTTACGTTAGAGAACTTTAGAATTCATTAAACATCAACATGTATACAAAACTAAATTCAATACAGGATAAAGCTTGAAGATACTCAATGTGCTTGAAAGTATTTCATCATCATCTAGGACTAATCTGACCTTCACTCTAGCTAAGATCTGTTTTTAATTTGGCTTATCGATGACTATGACACCGAGGTTGTTGTTAAAGATCACTCTGCCCTCAGACTCCATGCTGCAGTCCGGATGCCGGAGCAGCTCCAACACGCCGTCTTTCAGCTCTGGTGACGCCGTTTTATTAAAATCCAGCACTTCGGTGAGAAAGTCAAGCAGCAGCTCCCCCTTTTCATCTCCCTCCGTGAAACACTCGGTGATATCCATTTGAGATGGCAGGTCAAAGCTGTGGTAGCTCACTCCCTTTGAGTCCAGGAGGCTTTTGATGTCTCCCGTGGTCACGCATTGACTTATTTCTGTATTGCAGAGCTCGTGCCTGTATTTCCGCCACAGCTTCCCCCAGCCGCTCTCTCCTTGAACAGGTGGGGCAGAAACAGTGCTAGCGTCAGCATGGTAGCAAATGGTGACAATGTTTACAGGTGTTTTATGTTGTAGACCAACAGAAAACACTGCGTAGTTCAGAAATAATGCACAGTTGTCAAAATTGTTTCACAAGTGAAAAAACCTGATGAGTGTCATGTGGGTTTATATTCAGACGGTTCGCTGCAGCCGGCAGGACTATGTTCCTGCTGGCTTTGCTTTATCTAAAAACACAATCTTATTTCTAAAACAGTCCAGGCTCTGTGAAATTCAACGTTAAACCAAATTTGCAATAGATTCTCAATTGGATTGAGGTTTTCGTACCTCAGTCTGAAGTCATCTTCTCTGACTAAACTAGACTCAACTCCAGCTATCTTCACTCAGCTCTGACCATCTCTCCTGCTCCTGCCATGAATGGTAAGTGTGTTAACAGCAATGTGCTGTGTCCGTATACTCCCACGTAGCATTTTGCATGAAGGCACAAAAGTCTGATTTTTGTTCCTTCTGACTATATCAAATTTGTCGTAATGTTTGCTCCGTCATGTGGAAAACTGCAAACGGGGGGTTTTGTCGTGACAGTTTCTTGGTTCTTCTCACTTCACCGCCGTGGTTAATAGCTGTTGTCTCCCTCCTGAGCTATGGATCTTTGAAGCTCCCCCAGAGTCATCTTTGCTCATTCTCTGATTAATGCTCTCCTTGCACAGACAGACAGTCTGACAGTGAAACATAATGCAGTTTGTTTGGGGCATCAGAGTGAAAAAATGATGAATGCCATTTCTCATTTTCCTTCCACTTCATATATTTATGCATATTTATTTCACGTTTTGTCGATTTACTCCATGAAACCCTAATAAAATACACCGACATGTCTGGTTCTCACACAACAAAATGTGAAACAGTTTGCAACTGTATTTCCCCTTGAACAAACGAAGCGTAACAGTTTCCTTCACATCAGCGAGGAATAACAAGGACGATTGTTAATTTAAATTGACGTCAATCAACTCACCAGACACAAGAATAATGAGAAGCTTCCCATTCTTATCGAGGAGACTCTGGAAGAAGCTGATGGTAGCACCGGGATCCTTCACATAGTACAGCATCTGTCGATTTCACCGCACATAATGAGCCTGTAACTGCATTCCTGGAGCACCTAATTATATTGCTATGGTAGACAGATGCCCTAATGGGATTAATTGCTGCCGAGTGCCACCTAATGAATATGACCTAGATGTGTCAGAAATACAGCACGAGGGCTGGCAATACTTCAGCACCAACCTGTATCATGTGAATGAAGTCTGCCTTCTTCGTCGTCTCGCTCAGTTTCCAGCGCTCCTCAAACTCCGAGGCCGTCATCTTGTTCCAGGTGAACTTGATGTAGTTTAGCTCAGGTTTCTGCGACACTAAAACTTAAGACAGATAATTAACAAATATAACAACTGTTTTTTTTTATGTAGGGAGGTATAGAAAAGAAATACACTGAGCTAAAAAGTGTACACATTCCAAAATATCAGGTTTTTATGATGTTAGAAACAAAAAGGAGACCATAACAAATCATTTCCAAACTTGTTCCACCTGTAATGTTCCAATTCACCTTGTGTTATCTGAAGAACACACACATTGGTTAGAAAGAGGAAACAATCTGTCCAAGGCAGCGTACAATCTCCTGTTTGCACTCTCCTTTGAGCTGATCCTTTGTGGAAGCAGCTTTTTACTCAGCTTCAGCATCCATCCTTCTTTAACGGGAGTCTGTCAGCATTTCACATCTCGACTTGGAACTTGTCCACTCTTTCATGCAAAAGTTCCCAAACTGTGTCAGATTTTGTGGACATCTTTTGAGTGCAGCTGTGTTCATGCCTCCACACAGATCTTCTGTCGTTGTCACATGCAGAACATAAAACTAGCAATTGCCAGAAATTCCTGCTGCTCCTTCATTGTTCACGCAGGCCTCCTGGCAGCCTCTCTGACCAGTTTCCATTCTAGTTTTTCATGAATCTTGGAGGACCATCAGGCTCTCTGCAATGCCACTCTGCTTTTTTGATGTCTGTCTTTACTGTGTTTCGTTATATTTTTTATGCTGTAGAACCTTTTTGCACACTTGGCTTGTTTAATATTCTCAGTTGACTAACTGAAGCATCCAAATTTGCCAAAAAAAATTCCTACAAAGCTACATGATTTTATGTTAATTTGATTCAATATAATTGATGGGAGTTGCATAGTTCTGTATAACTAAATGCTGTAATTAAAAGGTGCTACAGCTGTGTATTTGTTTGGGGATGTGCAATTTATGCTCACTATTTATATTTCTTTTTACATTTTTTGATAACTTGATTTAATTTATTTGCACCAGATGTTTCTAAATGATTTTATTTTAATTTTACAAATGGACTCTTTTTAAATTTGAAATCTAAAAGGAACCATGCCTTCGCTAAATGTTGATGTGAAAGGTTTTTTTTTTAATAATCCAAAAGGAACTAGGCCAAATGGAACATTTTCTTGTTTTACAAAGTGAAGTGTAAGCTAATTTTGGAAATTTTGTCTTTTCTCAATTAAAAAAAAGACAAAATTTCCAAAAAGGTGGTAAACACCTGAGTTTAAAAACTCAGGTCAGAAATTTCTTTCTCTGTTTGGCTGTTTTGTATCTCATTCATATTTATTTAATCTTCATTTTTTATTTAAACATAAGGCAACAGATCCCTGTATGTGTTTTATTAATGAGCCTTTATGTTGTACAGCAGGAAACAATAAATCTGTGTCATTCAACCGAATCGAGTGACATTCTACTAACCCCACTGACTTTTTGGGGTAATGTCAAAAAAAAAAAAAAAAGAAAGAAAGAAATATGCTTTATGTTCCCACAGTGGGAAAATTAAGGAAAATTCAGGAATAGTGAATGCAGCATTTGTATGGATATGGGATGAAAAAGATCAGTCTGTGATTGGCTGGTGGTGTGGCTCCTTTATGTAAACTTTGTCAAGTTGCAAGAGCAGGTACGGAGGTAAACACATGCCAGAACATGAACCAAATAAGCGCACGCACGCACGCACGCACGCACGATACGCATCGTTCTCTGCTCATTAAAACCCCTTCTCCATTGCCAAGTCTTACTACAGCCTGGTTTGTTCCTCTGCTTTGTTCCTGGTCTGTCTCCAAAGTGCAGTAAAGCAAACTAGAAGCCTTAAACTGCAACTGTGTTAAGCATCAGATTGCAGACAACCAGCCACTTGTCATTGGAAGTATGTCGGAGGGGTTGTTGGTTGCTGATTGGTCATTGTGGTTCAATGATCAGCTCTTCTCTAATAAAGGAGCAATGGTTTTATTAATTTATTGATAAGAAGGTTAAAGGCAGCTTTAACATGATGCTTCAGCATTAAAAATACAAAGAACATACCCTTTCCAGCCAGAAAATTAAATATTGAAACATCTTTTAGAATGCATGTGAACACAGACACGTTTTGTAAGAAGAGGGTGAACCTTAAGAAGACTGTACCTTTGTAGTTGTGTAGCTGCTGGCTGCTTGGCTCCACCACCTCATTATCTACGGTCACCCCTGGACGCTTCTTACGTAGCTCGTTGAGCATCTCTAGGTCTATCTCACCTAGCAGAAGCAAGGCAGTTAAAAACAAAAAAAAAGAAAGTTAGAGGCAAAATGTTAACTTGTTGAAATCCCTTCGTTTTTTATAATGATGTGTTACAAAAAGAAAACCAAAGAAAAATTGCATCATAGGTTAAATTTTAAATATAGCTGACGTTGCCGTTTCGAAAGCTGTTCAGAGTTGCTTTCGACCCGCAATAACTGGAACATTGACCAACATGTAGATTTTAGCCACTTTCTGTTTTAGCTGCTCACATGTGACTGTGTTTAGTGTTTAGGTTTCAACTTTTTGAACAGGTTTGTTCTGTTGCACCACTTAGTAGCAAGTCTCGCACATCGTTGAGTTTACATCCAGATCTAGCTTTGAAGCCAAAGCTTTCAAACAAAAGTTGTTTCAAAAATGAAACAACTTTTGTTAAACAAATGCTGCTAAGTCTCATATTCACTTGTGTTGACTTTTAAAAACGCCACCACACTTAGAAATGTAAGTTCATCTTTCAAAAGAAGCAGAAATGCACTTCAGTCAGCATAGAACACAAGACAAAAGAAATTTAAAATATCTTTTTTATATTTAGCTTTGTGCCCATTTGGAGCAAAATATGAAATTGAATGATAAACTTATAGAGTGTATGTGTTTTAAGCCTGTTTGCTCCAACCTCTGTGACCAACTAATTTGAATTTATAAACTTGCATTCTAAGATGCCATCTACTGAAGGTAAAAAAATGTTGTGTTTGGATTTTTGGTTTTATTTCTGAGGTCAAAATTTGAAGCCTATGTATCTACATCAAGGATGACTACTTACATCTGAATGTAGACTGTCTGCTCCACCCAAATTCTTCCTAGTTGTTTAATAGAGCTTCAATTAAAAAAAAAAAAGAATTATATCTTTTAGTGCTTGTATAGAAAGAACTGAAAGAAAACACTGTTTATCATGTTGTAATGCTAACAGTAGACGGCACCAGAGCATTTAGTAAATCACTCTGGAGTTCTGCCTCGCAGCTACAACTCATTTATGCTGGATGTGACATTACTTTATAATTCCCAATGCTGGGCTCTTAGGCAAGTCAAATACAACATTATGATGTCACCACAAAAAAAGTAGATTAAAAAGTCCCAATTATCCTGTTATGTAAGAAATACTCAAAGTCACAATGGATTTTGATGAAGATTTTGAAATCCAAAGTGAAGTAACCTCATAAAGTCCACATGAATTAAAAACTAGGGCAGGTACTCCAGCTATTATGCTGTCAGTATCATTTGACTAAAGGGAGAAAATTTTGTTCTCTTTCCTATTGAAGGTGACAAGTTGCCACGATGAGAGGAGTAAATTTAAGCCATGGAGCCGATGCGAGGATGCAGTGAATTGTTTTACCTTGCAGGGAAGTTTGTAGTCATTCTAATGGATTTACAAGTCCATTAGAGAATCCATTATGATACAGAAATGACAGCTCAGGTAAAGTAAAAGGATGGGCTTGGACATAAGTAAAGGGTAGCAGCACTCTGAGGGCAAGTGCTCAGTTTGCACAGGAAAAGAAATGACTGTATTGTAATAGAACCTGGTGCTGTAAAGCTACATGGTGTTTAGGTCATTTTGTCAAACTAATAGTAAATAAAATGGTCAGATGGCGACAAAAAGCCTCCACACTGTCTTTTCTTCTTCTCACAGCAGCCATGAATAAACTCTCCAATCGGCTCAGCAGCAGCCGACTGATTCGCCAACGTTCCCTCACCTTAGCTATCTGCTGCAGAGGTCATTCAGCTATTTACCGTGTCACGCTGCACATACGCTAAGTTCAGCGGTGTCAGCGCCATATAGTTTGTGCTCTTACCAGCTCCGCTTCCAACTCCAATGACATTTAGATGGGACTTTCCATCTCCAATGCTGCGGGGAGAGCAGAAAAAGCAGGAATAAAGAAAAAGCAGAGTGTCTTCAGAGCAGCGACGCCTTGAAATTCACAGCTTCCAACCTGCCAAATGTGGGTCACATCTTTTTGGGCCTGTAACTGACAATTCTGCCCGACACTCGGGAATGTGAGATGTTCTGATCTAGCGACTGAAGCCTCTGCAAGAACTTAGGCTTTGAATGTCGCTGTGGCGCGTTCTGTCAATCAACGTAAATTTTTATTAACTCTGTTACACCTTTTAATTAACTTGTGAGTCACATCCCACCGGCTTCCTGACGGATCTGCTTGTGAAAACGTCAAAAAAGAGCCGAGTTTGGTTGGGTTCTCTGCAGCACGTCAGTCACCTCCCACAGCCTGCGCTGTTGGTTGTGAATTTTTGGGAATTCACAACCATGCACATACTATTTGACTGTTTAAAATATACATTTAGATCGTCAGCCACGCATTGTTAATCTGTGAAACAGACTTTGGACTTAAGTTTAGTTAAAAGAAACTCTGTTCACCGTTTTCTGTGATAAGCGCCACAGGTTGTGATTATTGATTCTCACAGGTTTTGTATCTTTCCGATTCATGTGTCTCAGAATATCCCTGCACTCCAATTAATTAGATATTTACTTTTTCGTACAGCAAACTGATACATTCAAATTACATGCATTGCAATGAAATTCACATATTCCGTTTTCCAACAATAAGTACTAACTTGTGTTTCTTTTACCTACCAGTTGCTTAAAGGTCAAAACCATCTCCTGTTTATGGTTCTCCAGTTAATCAAAACCCTGATGTCACATCACATGTTCTTCACAGTTCACAGCTGCAGGGTTTTAAAAGCCAAGATACAGATTTGTCTCAACTTAATCCTGATCTTCAACTGACAACGAATTGGCATTTTTTTTTCCTTCATCAAATGCATTATTGTTTCAAATTATATTTTGGCACCATTAATGAAGCCTTTATGCAACAAGAAAATATATATATTTTTTCACAAACTTAGGTGAAAGGTTCATTTGAACTTTTAATCCAAAAAAATATTAATATATTCTATTCCAATTGTAACACAGCTGAAGCAACAGACAGCATGTTTTTTTTTTTATGAAAGTCGGTTCCTATTTAAATTTCAAATAATTTATCTGTGAAAATCACCAACCAAAAGCAAGAAAAGATTAGCAAAAATGACTAACCCATTTAATAAAGTTTTGTTTCTTTCATGCAAATTAATATTTTCCTCTTTCAAACAAACTCTACATAATCATAATAATTTTGTCAAGACATGTCAAAATTACAATTATCTTGTCGAGAAATATTCCTCTACGAAATATTCTGACGGTGCAGGGGAGGATGGTGAAAGTTTGGATTATTAGTATTGCACTTATCTTTGCAGTTTTCACTGTATTCACAATTCAGTTTTTATGAAATTTTATGTGGAATCATTCAAAAATAATTCCCAGGAAATTCACCTATTCACAGATTTTTTATTTTTATTTTTATTGGGCATGTATAAAAAAAATTCTAAAGAAAATGCAACCACAGACCGTAATATTTTCAGTTGTCCATGTGTTAAATCATTGTTAAATGAGCTTTTACCTGGACAGAATGTCGGGTAGTTTACTGTGGATGAAGTCCCGCATGCATTGGTGTTCAGAGGAGCGCTCCAGAAAAAGGTGGAAGGATCTCTGGTACCTATCATCATCATGAACCAGACTTTTCAGTGGGGATCCCATGATGCCTGTCTGGACAAGAGGCAATTCATTTAGGTTTATACTTTGGCTGGGCCGTACACTTTAATCAAATTCACTTTATGCGTTATGTCCTGCAGAGAAGTTAGTCCCTTCACCAGGTCTCAAGACTTCTGCTGCCTCTAACAGGTGTTCTTCCTGTATTTAGTTCCATTTATCTTGCTATTGACTTGATTCCCTGTCCCACAGGATGATGCTGCCACTGTGTTTTAATCAAATGTGTCAGACTCAGCTGTACATCACAAAAAAAGCCAAATAAAGTACAGTCAAGCTTATCGGTTGCAAATTCTGTAAAGTATATCACATTTCACTTCCAAATAAAACCGGAAACATGCTGTCCATGTTGTGTATGATGTTTTAATTTGACTTAAACACCTAACAGTACAAACACAAACATAAGATAACATTTGGGATCTGCTATTTGAAACAGAGTCATGTATGGTTGAACGTCACCACACCAAAGCGTATTTCTCTATTATTGGAACGCCAAAGCTGGAAATTCATCTGCCTTTTTTCCCTTCCCTGTTTTATTACGACAGAGCTGCCGGTTTATTGACAAAAATGACTTCGGCGGCAGCGGAAACACAGAGCTGCACGCAGGCAGACAGGCGCTGTCACGTCCCCTCCGACACAATCATGAATACGAACAAAACACGTCCGTCCTCCGCTCAGTGAGCGTCAAAGAGCGACTTTCATCGTTCGCTAAGATTCCCGTCATGAGCGTGAAAAGCAAATCGCGACGATGATCACTTACTACGGTCTTCCGGCAGAACAGCGTCCCGGGGGGAAGGTGGAAGGCTGGAGTGACCCCTCCCACATGTGTCACAGCTTCTTCCCTTTAGGGAGGGCGAAAGGTGGCGGAGGAAATCCGCCAAAGAAAATCCGTCTTCCCAAGGCCTGCGCGCTGTCATTTGTACGTTTAGCGTTTATTTTCAGAATATTATCCTATGAAAGACCCGAGCGTCTAATCTGACTTTGCTGCCTTAAATTTCATTGTAATAGTTTTTGTCAAATCTGAGGGAAATTTCATGTTCACAGGCGGTCCAAGGTTTAATGGGGGCTAGAGCAGAACTTCATTTGGAGCCTGATTTGGAGTTACTTTTAAATTGTGGTGGGATTGAATGGTATTAATGTTTTTGTACATATTTAACAAGGTGATCGATAATAACCTGGTTTTGTTCAAATGTTTTCAAAATACACATAAAAGAATAATGTGAATTGTTTACAGTGGAGTCAATAGAATTGCATCTATTAAAATGTCGAGGCTTGAATGCAAAAGATCTATAAAAATACAAGTTACATAATTTAAAAAGTGTCAATTTCTGTCTATGACACTCTATAGTGAAACCTATGGATAAATATCACAAATAATTGCAATATATTCAATAAAAAAAATTGGCTTGTTGACATGTTCAAAAACTGAATAACGTAGTGTTTAATCCTATAAGTCTTAATGTAGCAGTTCAGCCAAATTTGCAGTACCGTAATTACGCCACATTTTGCGCTATCTGAAAAATCCCAACAGTTTCTGAAAGGGGAGACGTTGCGCTTTCTAGCCAAAATCAGGTTATTATGGTAATTTCACTCCTGCTCTAACAGGGAGTGACACTTTTAATAGACGGTAAGTTGCAAAAATTACTTGCTAGATATTGAAAGTTCCGGTAGTTATGGACATATGAGCAAATAAATTTACTCACAGGACATTTAAAGAACTACATACATTTAAAATAAACAAAAAAACATCCAGGCGGAGATTTTAAATTTACGACATAAAGGGGTAAGTGGTATACATCTGGAGGATGATCTGCTTGTAGAGTTCCTCTGGCACAGATGGTTTCCGTAAGAAGACCAGTTGGAGAGGCAGCAGCTTGACCCACCGTCTCTAGATAAGTCCAGCCTTCATTCATTATTGGACACAGAGTTATGTTAATGCTGTTATACTGTTAGCTTCAAATAAACTCATTTTCATTAGTCCTGCAATTAGCTTTTGAAACATTTGAATTGGGAGTGAAACAAACATTATTTGGGTTCAGGGAGAAAATCATTTATTGTCTTTTTTGAGTCCCACTGAGTTTTCCATACGCTTTAAAAAACTGCCAGATCACTGTTCATGTCAGACTCGACTTCAAAGTCCTTCCATTAATTACACAGGGTTGCACCATCTTATCTCTTTGGTCTCATTGTTTTCCATGTCACCTTTTCTCGGTCAGACACAAAGTTACAGGATTAAAAAGGAGACAAAAACAATCCAGGGGGTGGAAAAGTTAGCACTTTTCAGCCATGATCCATCTAATTGGAGTGAACTCCCTCCTGCAAATGATGAAAGAGATTTTTAGTCTGACTAACTACGTCTAATTCTGTGCCAGATGTTCATTAGAAGGCACTGTTAAAACCTCCCTCTCTCCTTTTATCTCTGCGTACACACACACTCTCACACCCATCTGCACTCAATAGAAAAATTACACACACAAGTTCAGCTCACAACACTCAGTTTATCATCGTTAATTAGTCCCCAGCCTCACAGATGTTAGGTGCTACAATGACTGTACAGATGAAATGGTGCTTTGAGCTAAAATTAACCAAACTAACCTGCTCAGATTTACAGTAATTGTTTTATCAGATTTATCTCATCTATTTGTTTCAAATCTCTCAGTTTTGAATTATTTTCTCTTTAACCCCCACACAAGACTCTGGACGACTTCCCTCTGCATTTTTATTTTTTGGTTGGTTTATTACGTTGAATTTCTTAAACAACAAACAGAGATATATAAATTCAATTCATATCCATGTTCCAGCTTATCAATTTAATTATCTTGTGAATCATTAAATACTTACATTAATTTAAGATTTTATGTGCATTTTAAAAAAAGTAAATCTGAAAGTATCAAATATTTATGCACATAATCCTATGGGTGAAAAAAAATTGAAGAATAATTCACATTTCTCTTTACAATTCATAAAAATGTAATTAAAAAACACACATACCAAAAGCATATCTGTGGTTGCCAAACACTGAGCAAAAGAACCGAAGCAAAAGAAAACAGACAGGTTCTTCTTCTTCTTCTTTCTTAGATTTTAACGGCAGCTTGCATCCATAATTGTTGCTCTACCGCCATCTGTTGGGTCCTAATATCTATAAAACAAACAGGTGTCTGGCTGAAACCAAATTAAACCTCTATAACTTAAGGTGACCACACCTTTCTCTCACTGCACTGCCCTCTTGTGTGCAAATAACATAACTACCAGTCAAGGTCAAAAACACAGGAAAGAATACAGCTATTTCATGTTCAACATAATAATGATAATGATATGCACAATCAGAGAAATTAGAATAACGAAGCAAGTAACTTTTGAGAGCCTCTAAATGGATGAGGAAGCTTCAGACTGTAGGGAGAGAGACAAAACGTTGCACTGATATTTCTCTTAGAGGTTTTTAAGAATTGCTTTACTCAGTCTGAAGCACCAGTCCCTCAATTACCTCTGTGGAGAATGTGGACACTTTTGAGCATGAAGATAGAAAAACAGGTAGAACGGTTGATCATTTACTCCTCCACATCAACAATTGTTTTGGAAAGACAGCAAACGCAGATGCAGTTCTAGGCTCAGAGACACCGACATGTCAGTAAAACAGCTCCAGAAAAGAAAGCTTGCAGAGGAGGCCCACATCACTCCTTTTACTGATATGGGAGGGTGCAGAGAGTGCTGAGGTCCTATGAAGGCACTCACAGAGAGGCTACTTAAGGTTTATTGCATGTTGCATGCCTAACTGCTGCAGTTTCAAGATCAGGATTATATAATGTTAGAAGTGGGAAAGTTGTTAACTGTGAACCTTCAAAATGGGAATAGCATCTGATTTTAGCTCTTGTTCAACATAGCCAGCATCTATTTTAGATAATGCAGAATTTATAGAAAAAAAAAATTCCTCCTGACCCTTTAACATGTAAGTGAAACCAATAGTGATAATATCTGTAGAAACTCTGTGTATTTGGAATACGAGAAGACTTGATGTTCTGACTTAAAGAGGATATGAATTTCATACCTCTGCCCCATGATGCACAGCTCTGTAGGTACGTGGAGGAAGTTGCATGTTTTGTTTCGGTCAAACTTCCATGTGTAAAATAAAACCTCAAAGAAAACCGATCATAAAATTATTTGAACTCTAATCATTTATGTAGGTGCAGAGAGATGTAACAGGCAGGGAGGTTCACTCACTGCTTCTTTATTTATGAGTTTTATGAAAGAAATATGAAATATTTTATAAGTGATATGATGGATGGAATTACATAGTCCTGACTTTGCCTGGAGTTTATTGGTGTTCTGGTTAGATGAGAAACAGAAGGATTGGTAGAAAACGATTAGTGCAGGTTAGCCTGAAAGCAGCACCCTGCTGTGGAGATTCCTTTCCTGTGTGGTCAAAAGATAATACAAGGATAGATGGATCAAAGTTCAAAACGTTAGAGGCTGCAGAAGCACTGAGACTGTGGCGTTGTAGTTACAATGAATGTCCCTAAACAAAAAAATATAACGTAAAAATATGGCAGTCTAAGATTTTTGGAAAAAAATAAAAATAAAAAAGTTTCCAATCATGTTCTAATTTGCTTTGGCCAGTAATGTGAAATGCAAATACAAGTAAAAATTGTGTTTATGAAACCTTTTTAAAGGTGCTGTACAATGTTGGACCATAATTCTCCCTACATGCTCCTTTTCTGGGTTTTGTGCCTGTCATGCAGTCCATAAAAAGTTGACTATAAATACATATGCCAAGGCATTCCACAGCTTATTAAGAAGTAAAATGATCTCAGTTTTAAGTGAGACCATTTTAAAGAGTTCAGTAGTTCATCTGATTAAAACTGGCTGCAAGAAGTAATCCCAGGCAATCAAAATTTCATATGAATACCCTGAAGGGATGCATAATGATGGTCATCCAAAGGTTATTTATAAATAAACAAAACTAAACCAGTGATCTGCTGTTGATCACCTCTGATTAAGCCTCTGCCTGTGGTGTTTTTATCTTCTATCATTTTGTGTCAGCAGGCTCTCCACACAATGATTATATATAAATTGAAAAACATCTACTGTTTTTGAAGTTCAAATTATTACATGTAGTGTTTTTTGGGAGACTAGAAGGATAATACTTTCACAGTTTCATTTTCTGGGATGCAGATAAACACCTTTTCCATTTCTAGTTAAAAAAAACAAAGCAGTAAACATTCATTGTTTGAAATGGCCCCACAAGCGTCTAAGTTTTTTTTCTCTCTCTCCCAGCTCTGAAGAACTTCACCAAACCATATTTTATTAGAGTGTTCCTGCTTCCTTATAGGAACAAATTTAATACATTAAAACGAGAAGCTCAAACTGTCACTTTGCTCATAAATCTTCACTAAAACCTCCAAATGTGTCTTGAAAGATGCGCAAATGAGATGAATTGGACATGACAAGATTGGGCCCCGTCTTTGCCATGGATCAGATGGCCGTGACACAAGCGTTTTAATTCAGCCTTGTCTTAAGCAAAAGTGACAGGATTAAATAAATGAATTAGATGAGACAAAGATTTAAACTCTGCTTCGCTCGCAGCCCGGGATTATCCTGGGACTATCGGACTGGAAATCTGACTGGAGGGCAAAATGAATCTTATCAACTGCTTATCTGTTCTGGGCTTTGCCTTAGAGTCTGTGGTAATTACAATATATCAGATGTATCAGGACTTGAAAGTCAAGGAGCCATGAAAGATCTTTCCTGGTCTGGAGCTTCTGCCTTGTAAATATCCCTCTCATAGAGGGGATAGTGAGAGAAACGCAGGCCCTTTTTTTTTATTTTCACATGATTTCACAATTTATTTGCATTTTGTCCAGTTCTCCATGTACACACAATAGTAACACAAATAGCTTAGGTACTGTAAACAGTAGGCAAAGATGTTTTTCGATCCGTCGGACACACCCAAAGGAGATCTCATAAGCATCTAAGAACAGAAATGTTTCTAGTTAGCTTATGATATGTTGTCTAGAGCATCGGAATAATTAAAATTTGGGTTTTTCCCGTACCCAACTTTTTACTATGTGTGCTTTTTGCTTCCCAAATTACAGAAACACTGCCCCAGAAGAGACTATTACTAAAATGTTTGGCAACTTATGAAACAGAGTCTTTTTTGCAAGGCCACTTGGAGCGCTCTCTGCCAAAATAGATCAAGCATGCCTACGTACAGAGACAGCTGCCGAAATACAGTTGTTGTGACATGTAACAACCGTATTTGTACAACCAGAAGGATTACAGAGTGGCTGAATAAATACATTCAAGATGAGGTCACATACAAGAACAGGTGCATCTCATTAAATAAGAATATTAGCGAAAAGTTTGATTATTTCAGTTATTCAGTTACAGGCGATGAAACTGGTGGATTACGTAGATTTGATACACACAGGTGGACAAATGTCAAGGAATAATTTATGTTTATTTCGATGACACAACTGCTGGAAAATTAAAATTCAAGTTCTCAGAAAATTGAGAACTTACTGAGAAGTGTGTCCATGTGCTTGTCAGGAAAAGCACTTAATGCTAAGCCTGTCCCAATAAACAATTTATCGCAAAATAAATTGATTCCGATGGTTAATATTTTTTGAAGGGCAATTTTCTTTTACATAATCCATTTTTACAATCTGTTTTGGTTGTGTGTGGTTTTTATTTCCTTTTATTGTATTACTTTTTGTTGTTTTTTTATTTTGGATATTTAAATTGTCTTTCAATTACACTGTTAAGTGTTTTTCCCAGAATTAAAATTTATTAGACTTTGAGAGGGCAAACTTGAGTTATTGTGCTTGAAAATTAACTTTATTGTTTACATCTACAATTTTAGAGACTATTTGTTAAGTAAAATTTGTTACTGTGACAGGCCTAATATTTGGTCAACGCTGTTTTTGTAACGTGAGTTATTAGATTAATGCAGCGCGGCACGAAGAGAATTTTGAATCTCAAATTTGTGAGCAGGCTTTGGTTCTCTGAAGGCTGTGGTTAAATTCCTGCTGCTTGTGCACTTTTTCTTGCACTCAGCTTTCCACTTTGACATGACGCTCTGAATTACCAGCTGCAACCTTGTTGTGGAGAGTTTCAGCGACTCTCTGCAAGAAGACTGTCAAGTCAGCAGTCTTCACAATGACTGTGTAGGTCGTAACATTGCCATGCCGTTATATTTATGCAATTTGTTTTTTATTATTGATGTTATGTAGTACTCTCTATTTTATGAAGAAAAAAATATTTCATTAGCTGAGAGCCATAATCATTAAAATGAGATTAATATTCATATCACTGTGTCTGATGAATCTATAAAACACGAGTTTACATTTTTTAATTAAATTGCAGAAATAAAGTAACTTTTCAGTTATGTTCAAACTTATTGAGATGCACATGTGAATCTCTTTGATTAGTGGAGGCCGAATGAGAAACAGCTTAATACCTGGTGAGCACCAAAATCACCAAAAGCAGGAAATACGGATCCTCCACTGAGTTGAAAAGGGAAGTGAAGGTGAAAAGGGTTTTAAAATCCACTCAGACTTATTAAGAACCATTGATGCTTGAAGATAGTTAACAGATATTTGGTGTTTGTAATCTTTTCTTCAGGCTGTAAACAAAACATTGACTATTTTTTAGTTAATTGAAACAGTGTATGGAATAATGATTAAAAAATAAAAACTATGAGGAATTTTCTTGGAAACAAATAGACACAGATTAGACATGACATTATGACCATTAAGGTAGTAGATGGTCTCCCTTCTGCTGCCAGAACAGCCTTAACCTGTTGACATAATGAAAACAATGAACTTTTCAACGACTCCACTCGGGCTCTGGATGGATCCTCTGGTATTTGGAGTCAATATGTTAGCAGCAGCTCCTTTCGGTCCTGTAAGATGGAAGGTCAGGCCTCCGTGGATTGGACTTATTTGTCCAGCACATACTGAATTAAACTGAGATCTGGGGATTTGGCTGCCAAGTCAGCACCTCAAACCATTCTTGGTTTGTGGCAGGACGCACTATGCTGCTGAAAGATGTCACAGCCGTAAGGCTGCACCAGTGGTGTCTGCAGCACTGGTGGGACACACATCATACAGCAGTACACACTACCCTGGCCATCCACCTGACACAAAGGCCAGGCCACCTTCTTCTGTTGCTCTGGGATCCAGTTCTCCATTGTTGCCGATTTGCACATTTTTGAGACTTTGTTTCCACTTTCACGGTTTGACAATAGATGATTTAAAGATAGTTTTTTTGAAAGATATTATTGGTCTCTACTGTAAGAAAATGAGCGTAGGAGCCTGAAATAAACAGAGATGTAGCCAAAAACATATTCATACGGCTAGCCAGGCTCAACAACTGATAGGCACCAGAGTCACTTTAGAGCACAACAACCGTATCCTCAAAATAATTCACTGAACACGAATATTTTCCTGAAGAAGAGTTAAAGGAGGTTTTTATTCTCATTGGGTTTTTATCCTGGTAAAAAAAGGGTAAAAAAAAAAAAAAATAAATATATATAAATATATATATATATATATATATAGTCTCATGGGAAAAACCAATCACTTGGCAGGGATCACTGGCCAATAAATAATATCTAAATACCCATTAGGATTTTATTAAGAGTCAGAATCTAAATTTGCTCAGAGTTACAATAAACAGAAACACAGCAATTGAGCTTTATTGACTACCGTAGCTCATCCGTTGTGTTGGACCACAGTAGCCAGTCTTCTGCCTCGTTGGGCCTCAATCAGCTCACCACTGTCCCCTTTCTGGACCTCTTTTGACAGATACTGACGGCTGCAGACTGGGAAAATCCTACACAAGCTGCAGTTCTGTAGATGCTCTGACCGATCTGAATAGCCATTTCAACTTGGCCCTTGTCAAACTCACTCGCTTACACTTGTTTCTGCTTCTAACTGATGGATTTGGAGGAAAACATTTTCACTTCCCACCTAAACCTCTCATTTAGAGGTGACCTCAAACAGAAAGGGTGTGTGTTATTTATTTTACCTGCCTGTGGTCATAATGTCATGCCTGATACCATGAGTAACCCAGCCAACATCTTTGTGATTCTCCTTTATATTTAAGTGATAAGTGCTGTTTTGCTTTGCATCACATTAAAACTGTGCATGAGGTATGATTTCAATCATGCTGGTTTCCAATCTTTTCATTTGCATGATTTTTTTATTTTTATTTTTATTATTTTTGTTCTAAAATGCATCAAAATGGTATCCTATCGAGTAAAAATGACATGAACTTGTTGCTGAATTTTATTTTCTATGGCTGGGAGTCACGTGAGAACGGAGAAATAGCCAAATTACATTTGCCCTTAAACTCGAGGCAGGCTTTGATTTTGGTTTCCACATATACACAACATATTGCATCATCAACAATACACAATCAGACAGCAAAAATAAATAAATTAAAACTTGCATTACGGATAAAACACTAGAAAAGTCATCCAAAAAAAAAAAATCAGACCTAACGAAGTGCATACACCGTCTTATTTGTTTGAAAATAAGGAATAAAAGAGTTTATCCAAAGAGCTTTACCTTTCACAAAGTTCAGAAACTATTGAGGAAAATTAAAATACCTTTCAGTAGAATGTGTAACTACAGACTGGAGCATCTCCAAAACAAATTAAAAAAAAAATAAAACAAAGAAATGTGGTCCCTCTGATTGTTGACACTTCAAAAACCTCCACAGTGGATTCACTTGTGGATTCATTTTGTCTCTAGTGCCTGAAAGTCTTCTTGCTTCATCATTTGCAAATGGTGCTTGGACCGCGTGTTCATGTTGCAGGCAGTTATAGAAAAAAAGGATCTAGAGGTCCATGTCTCAGTCTCGGCTCAACTGGCTTTGGCTCCGCTTGTTTGATCCGGCCAATACTCGGCGCCGTCAGCGGCAGACCAAATCGCTTTACTATCGCAAACATAACACCGGCTCAAGCAGGTCGGGGTATGTGCTTGGCAACAATGCAAACCAGGCCAGAATCCTGCCCAAGGCCAGTCATGTGACCTTGCTGGTATAGCAGCCAGGTCACATATCCACATCGCCGTCATAGGCAAGAGTCAAGGGCTTCTGCGGTGGAGGAGACGCCTTGGAGGTTTTGGATGGCTTGCTAAAAAAACAGCAAGAGACAAGACACAAAAAACTCAGAAAGCATGTAGCTTGGTGCAGCACAAGGCAGTCCAACTTGATTTCAGTCTTTAAAGAGAATTTCATTAACTGATAACAGGAGCTCACAACAGACAAAGTAGTGTGGAGGAGTATAACTCATACTTGACAAGGTTGTGTTGGAGGAAGGGAATTTCTTTTTGCCTCTGCATGTTTATGCTTTTCTCATACCAAGTATGTGTATGTGAGTGTGAGTGTGTGTGTGTGTGTCTGTGTGTGTGAGTGTGTGTGTGTGTGTCGTGTGTGAGAGAGAGAAAAAAACCCTACAAAGAAGCCCCTGCTTTAACAATCGTATATGGCAAAGAACATTTTGAAGACAGTGGAATTGGACGTACCAGATCAGGAATGACAGCATGACGATGAAAAGTACGACAATGAATCCAACGATGGCTACGGCATAAACCCACAGCTTTACTCTTCCATCTGTGTGACCAAAAGGGAGATTTTAAATAAAGACATTTAAAGACTGTTTAGGCGGTCATGAAACTCTGTGCCCACATACTGACAAGAAGATATTTAATGTGGTCAAATTATCTTGCTAAAGTGTCCAAACCATTTGCACATACTGACAGATTACAACCCCAGCAGGAGTTTGCGTGACACACCATGTTTGGCAAGTGGAAAGAAAATTATGTCTTTACCAGATTTGCACATAATTAAGAGAAAACGTCATCCATTTATCTTTGCAAGAAAAAAAAAAAGGAAAAGCAAAATAAACCACTGAAAACCATTTAGAAGTTTTCTTCAACTTCTGAATTAGCTATCAGGATTAAAATCCCAGTAAAATACACATAATCCTGTGATTATGTGACAAAATGTTGAAAAGTTCTTTACTTTAGAAAATATCTCGTCATTTCTAATTTTAGGGTTTAAGATAAAGATAATTCAAATTCCAAAGTACTTTATTAATCCCAAAGGGAAATTAAATAAACATAAACATAATAATAAATAATAAAAATAAATTAAATAATAAACATAAAAGAGGATTTTTATTTTTAATTTCTTTTAAAGTACATAGATTCCAACCTAATAACAGACCTAAAAACATATTACTGGTACTTTTAGTGTCATTCTGTGTGGAAATTCAGTAAATTAAGTGTTTAATTTGTTATTACAGTGTCTGGTCCCTATTAATTGTTATGGAAGGTCCAAAGAGGCTCTTGCTTTTCCTTTTGTCCGTTTATTTTACAGGAAGTAGGGTATTTTTAGAAGCAGGAACAATGTGATTGATTGCTGCAGATCATTTCCATTTCAGTACCTGGGCCAACGGGCCTTAAGGTCCACTCGCTGAAGAGGTCGTTGGACTGAGACGGCCGGGGTTTTATTCTTCCAGAGTTAGTTTTCACATCGGCTTTCTTGCTGTTGTCCACTCCAGGGGTTCTGGTGCAGTAGTCCAAGAAGCCATGCGAGGTCATCACTTCGGTGTAGCCCTTCTCACAGCCACACACTCCACTCTGCATGGAAAGTGGATCGTTTACTGCCCAGGGAAGACTGCTGCAATTGTTACCTCACACTTTACAAGACGTGCCGTGCAGTTGCGTGACGATACTCTTAGGGGCAGTATAAGATCGAGCTGTGGCCATTAATTCTCATTCCCAACCCTAAACAACCTCACAGGTGTACATCTTAACTGACACAAACAGTTAAATTAATCTGATTAGCTTCTAATGGCCTGCTTTAGGAAATTAAAAACGCCATCTATCACGATCCATGCAGCCTCCCACCAAGAGGTATGTGAGCAGAAAACAACACAAAAAACTCCAGAGAGACCGACCACAGCTTCCTGATCGAAACGCAGCAATCTTACCGGCGTGCAATGCGAGAAGGGTTTCGTGCACGCAGGGTGGCAGTGTCGAAGGGTAGTGGGCCTTTTCTGTGGGAAACAGCCCCCTGAGAAGACAACACATTCTTATTTCTGTTCCTTTACCCATTGATCAGTAAATTAATGCTCTGTCACAGCTGATTAATGGGTTCAGGTTCCTATCGGGGTCCCTGATCAATTGGTGAACATTTTAATTCCAACACAGAAAATTGCATGTCAGAATATCAAAGAGTAATGCCATGGGCTTTTGGGTTCTCTGCCAAGGGAGGATTTCTTTTTTATTTTTTCCTTCTGGTTTCATATTTGCCAGAAATACTTCCTTGGAGTGATAAGATCACATTCGCCTACTATTTACAGCAGATCAAGCCTGCCTAAAGCTTTTTTATTCCCACAACAGTCGTAGTTTTGTTCTGTTTCTCCGAGGCTGGTTTACTTCCTATAAATACAAATGCGTGATTATATTTATATGGATTGAAAGCATCCCAGCTCAGTGCAGCTTATTGATTACTTGCGTTAAAAGGGGAGGGAAAGAAATAAATCAATTGACCCTGGTGTGGGAAAAGGCAGATCAAATAAAGTGCAAAATGTTCTTGGAGCACTGTACTAAAACTACTCTGTGTGAGTGAATCTGTAGAAGTCAGCTTGGCCAAGTCAAAGGCAAGTCAAGTCTCAGTCATGATCAGTTTTCACAGCACTGAAACAGCAAAGCACGATGCAACTTAAAACATGGCTGATGAGTGGAGACAAGAAAAACTGTAGATATTAGCTTCTGCAGTCGTACTAAGACGGTTTTCACTGTGATTATTAATGCATATTAACAAATGTTTGTTATTTTTTTACTATTAATATTGGCAAGTATAATCATTTTTCAAGTGGTTGTCAAGTAATTGTGGATTTTAGCTATTTTCGGGCGGCTGTGGACCCTAACGCCTTTGAGCAATGGGGGTCCACTGTAATACATGGAACCAGAACCAAACGAGGACAGCAGCATTCAGTTTCTATGCACCACAGATTTGGAACAAACTTCCAGAAAACTGTAAAACAGCTGAAACACTGACTTCCTTTAAATCTCAACTTAAAACCCACCTGTTTAGAGTTGCCTATGGCTAAATTAGGGTTGGAGTCCAGGTTTTGATGTCTTTGATGTTTTTAACTTTACTTTTTATCCATTTATTAATCTTTAATCTCTTTTTTTTTGGTGGTTTAGAGTCCTTGTCAAATGGCGTTTTGACTAAAAATCTGGATTTTTTTTTAAATTCCAATCTTTTTTTTTCAAAATCTCTTTCTCTTTCTTACTGTTTATTCAATGTCACATGCTGTAAAGCACTTTGAAATGCCTTGCTGCTGAAATGTGCTATACAAATAAAATTTGATTGATTGATTGATGGCTCAGTTTGAAAGACATCCATCAGGACATTATTATTACTCAATTTAATCATTTACTCAAACGAGCCACGCTTCCGGGTCTATTTTCACTAATGATAACTTGAGATAAGAGATTTTCATGAGACTTTCGTCAGAGTTTGAGCCTGAATTGAATCTGAAGCTACTCGGGTCCTCATCTCCGTCTTCATGCTTGTCTGAATTTGTGACTGACAGAAAGCACAGTCCATCTGCTGGAACGGAAAGTTTCAACCTCCTCTGAGTTTTGTTATATATCTGGAAAAGATCTTATCTGTAGAAGCAAAGCCCACTGACGGCTTAATAGTTTTGGAATCTCTAAAGATTATACTTTTGCAATTCAGCACTGTCAGATCTTTGCAGATTTCGCATTTCCCATTATCTCCTGATCCAATAAGGCGCTCTTTTCCTGTAAATGTAATTCAAAACCACCTGCTACAGCCACTTCTGGAACAAAAGAACAAAAAAAGTTTTCAGTTTGACAGTTTTCAGAGATGAATGAAAGGAGATTCACTTCATGTCTGAGCTGCACATTTCATTTTAGAGCTATAGACTTATTCTTTAATGCGCCACACATCCATATGATACAAAATGAAATGAAAATGGGCTCAACTGTGTCAGTGCAGGGGAACAGAAACAGAAATAGCACACGTTCAGCTGCTGGACTCATGTAGGAATTAGGCAATATCACCGCTTTCCAAGGATATATTGTATGTAACCCATTTATGAGCAGTGACTGGAGACTGTAAGGCTTCACCTGTGACATTCACACCATCTGAGCGTTGACACCACACTGGCCTCTCGTTGTTTGTCCATCCCCCTGTTTTCCACTGGTAGCTGTGGCACTTTCCTCCTGCAGCAATGGCAGAGAGATGGACGCAATCCTCATTAGCAGCTTATATTGGGTGTCCACACCTGCTCTCAGGCTCCTGTGGATGTTAACCTCCGTTTCTCTCAGGCCTGCGCCTTTATATTATAAAGCTAAGACATATAATGATTACAAAGACAGAACAAAAAGAAAAAAAAAAGAATAGAAACCCCTCAGCTGAGGCAGCATGCGAGACTGTGCCAACTTTGGACAAAATGAGGTAAAATCGGTTGGAAATATATGAAATGGGCCTCTTTTTGCAATCAAAGTGTTAGATATTTTTTGGTATTATCATTATTACTTTAGTTCATATTCAGTCTAATGTTAATCAGTATTATTGTGATTTTGAGTTTAAAGTGTTCTCTTCCTTATGTGTGTATAAACTGACCTGGAGGTCGCAACTGTCTGTTTCATCTCCATGTGAAACAGTTAACTCTTTGTTTCCCAGACCTTAATTCTTATCAACCAGAATACCTCCTAACTGCTTATGAGCAGTCGTATTTTGTCTCTTGTTTATCCTCCCTCTTTGTTGACAGTTTGACCGAGATTTGAACTGGGCTCAGACCGTAGATCAGATATCACACCTGGAACTGAGTTGCTGGTTTGTTTAGGTTAGAAGTTTTACGACCTTTGTTGTTCTTCCTGACTGCCCCTTTTGGTTGTTCTGCTTGACAATAAAACAGGGGCTCGCGTGGAAGGAGATCAGAACTCTCTGTGAACGGCTGATGAAGTTGTTGGCGGAAAGTTTTCCTTTTGCAAAAGCTTTGTCTATAAAATTCATATACGTTGTCTGTGGTCTTTTTATGTAGGTTCGAGAAAAATACCTATCACAAAGCTCTTATTTTCCTGAGGTAGAGTCTATAGAAAGGTTGATTTGAAGAGAAACGCAAAGACAGATAGAACCGATTTGTAGGACTGAAGAAAGCGCAGCCACACAAAGCTGCAATTCAGGACAAACTTACAAAAAGAACCAAAGTAACACCACAGAAAGTACAGAACTGAAGTTACACATAAGGGTTACTGCGGTGGGTACAATTTTAAAATAAGTATATTTGACTTATGCGTAATTTTAGGCTTTATGTGTTAAGATTAAAAAGAAAAATGGAATGCTATTATGGTTATTGGGTGTATGAAGGTATTCAGGGCTTTTTCTGAGTACCTGAGCAGCTATTGTGCTGCTTCACAATAGCTGCTGCACATCAGAGAGGCTCCTTCACTACTTTTAAAACTCCTCTTAAAGCCTTTTCTTCTTCTTTGGCCTTCAATAATTAGCTAGACATAATTTGGCCTTGCTTATTTTAATTTGTTGCATTGTATTTAATATTTTACTGTTCCTTTGCCTTATTTATACGTGATTATTTTTTAATTTTTTTTATAGTTTTCTTTGTGAAGCACTTTGTTGCTGCTGCCGCTCTTTTAAGGAGCTTTATAAATACAATTGCTGTGGTATGAAAGCAGCAAAAACTGACGAAATTGATAATGAAATATAAGAAAAATATATTTTTTTTAAAGGTAAACATTAAAAACAGATGTGACTAAAAAATACATTAAGCACAAAGTCAACAGAAATAAATTTAGAGATGAACTGACAAAATGGGTTTCGAGAACAATAGAATCAAGCTTCCTACAGTAGAATATAACACAAATCATTGTGAAAAAATAAAATGTTCCTCTGGCTCCGCCCAGTGGTCCTGCTGCCATTTGCAGAAACACACGGCTCCCAGTCACAAACAACCAATCAGAATCAGGAAGAAAGTCTGCACTGTCAATCACACCCTTCTACGCGATGCACACACCCTTCCCCCGCTCAGTGTGTGCCGTCAAGCTCAAGTTTGCCGGTACGCTGCAGCTGTGATGGTGGAGAAACTTGTTCAGAATTTCAGACCACAGTTTTTCTCAGAACTCCCCTCTGCAACTTTAACAAAAATACAAAGTTGTTTATTTGAGCTTTAACCTCAGTTATTTTCTGCATTTTGAAATGTTGGCAGCCTTTTGGACATTTCCCAGTCAAGGTAGTGACGTACATGCTGCAGGGACCTCTGCATTAGCAATGTAGCTGCTTCAACTAGAGTTCAGTTATGATGTGGTATTATGGACAAATACCCCAAATATGTTGGCAAAATAAAATGCTGCAAATTAGTCGTAAATCATGCAGAAATAGGCTTGAAAAATTGCTTTTATGTACAAAGAGTGTACTCCCTGTAGACTCTTCTTCTGCCAATTTATGTAGCATAGTATGTTCTCTTCAGCAGTAAGTCATGTTTAGTAGTGACTGAGGTAAGTGTCATTGTGACAGTCTGCTTAAGAAAGTAAAATCCTTGTTTATTTATTCATATGATGTGACCTTTGACCACAAACCAAACAACAAAAATCTGCTTTCTCAGCAGAAAGGCAAGAAAACACAATTGTTTCTTCTTGTATTAGTCGCTAAAGAGATATCTGCATTGATTAAAATTGGTCTCGGCAGATCAAAGCTTTACGAAAAGAGGAGGCCAGAAATCGGACGTGAAATCCAACGCTTCCCTAAATATATTTTCTCTAATCCTTCTGGAACCAGCTTGCTACCATCGGAGCAGTTTGGCTTCAGGAGCAGCTGAAACTAACCTTGTTATTTCTGTCCAAGTCGGTGCAGACGCTCAGCCATCCTGGGCATTACAAGTGCTTACATATAAAGCGAGCCGGGTTCAGAAGTGAAAAAGCCTCTGGGTTAGAGGTGGGTTGTCTTCAAGGAACATGAAAATCCAGCAACTTTTATTTAAGCACTTAGATCTGAAGCTACCTGCTCACTATGCGAATATTAAATATCTGGAGTAAAACTTGATTTAAATAGATTTTTTTGGGGTTCAGATAAATGTAAAGCAAACTAAAAAAAGTTTTTTGTTTTTTTTTTTTTTAAATCACAATGATGGCTACATCTAAATCATTTTTTTTAGCTTTTTAATATTGCTTGCCAAAGCTTTTTTTTTGCATCCACCCTCTCCCATCACTCTTCCATAAGGTTGCCGATTAAATGACTGGGAGTGAGAATACAAGGAGCATCAGCAGGAGCAAGAAAAAGCCCACGTAACTAACATGAACTGATAATGTCCGATTCAAGCTCGCACACGCAGCCATCAGCTTGACCATGTGTAACTCTGCATGGGCTTTGTGATGAGGAACTTCACTCCGGGGCCGGATACGGCCAAGGATTTTATAACTGTCTGAATCTCACGCTCAGCTGGCAGTGAAACACAAACTCAAGTGTTCTGCAATAAAACAGAAGACATTTACGATCACATGCAAAATAAGAAAAAAGAACAAGGATGCTTATTTTGGAAAAAAATAATGAGGAGTGAGATGTAGGTGTAACAACGTCTGGTTAATGAATCACCGAGGGACATTAAAGACATTGGATTCTTGATCAAAAGTCCCTGTTTATCTTTCTAAATTCAACACATGTGGGACATAATACCAACTATTTTCCAGACTCGTAACAATGGCGCTCTTGAGTCTCTCTGTGTGTTGAAACTGAACAATGGCCCTGACTTTTAATTCAGCGTTTTCAGCTCAGGTATTGTCGCGTCTTTTCTCTGCACCTTTTTGAGCGTCCTGGAGTGTTGAAAAAGAGCCCAGTTCCTGCAACTTTAACATCCAGCTCTCCTTCAAGACATTTGTCTCAACTATTTGCTCTTTACCAGAATTATGTAAAGCTTGACCGCACGCCAAAGAAGCAATTTAGCTATTTGATTCAAGACCAGGGACTCATTTCAAATTGAGCCGCCTGCTCTTTTAGCATTAAACGCATCAATCAGATTGATGTCTGATGGGGGATAACACTACAATACAGCTCCTAAAATTACATTTTACAATACATCTGACAATCTACAAACATTCTTTATTATATAATATTTTAGTTTATTGTTTTATCAGACAGTTTAGAAAACCCCAGAAGACATCTTCGGTCCATACTGCGTCCTACGTGTTCTCTCAAGCAGCAAACACGACTCCATCACTGCAGTCTGACGGCAGCACTGCCCTGATGCAACCCAATAAACATTTCAGGATAGCTTCAAAGATCAAAGGTTGAAATAGTTTATCTTTATTGCAGCCCTCATGTGTGTAGCTGGAGTTTAATGGACATTTAGTGGACAGCAAAATAAATCCTGTTGTATTCATCTAAATTGTCTGAGCAGCAAGAAAAAATGCAAAAGTTCATTGAAAAATTTTCCAGGAAAGGTATACACACAAAGGGTTTTTTGTTTTAACAATTTTTAAATGTTTAAAGGCGATTAAGACACTAGTGACCTGTAGTCATTAGTAACTAGAAGGGCAAGTCATGCAGTAAACACCCCAAGAGCCGGTGAACAAACTCCAAACAGCCGTATTTGTTTTAAGCCACTTTTAGCAACAGAAACAAATGTTAAATACAAAATTTGTAAAAACAAAAAAATCAGAACCAATGGATATATTTGTTTCTATTTTATAAAGTTAAATTAAATATACAATAGCATTTAAAGGCATTCATATATAATAACTTTCAATATGCTTTGGTAAAAAGATTGAATTATATTATGAATATGGTTATCAGTTTTTTGGTGAAAATAAGTGCAAGTCAATCTTCCTTCAAACCTTTACAAGGCTGGGTCTCAAAGACCTGATGGGGGCAGCTGCCTTGGTTCTCCATGGCTTGAATGATCACAGCTCTGGATCGCGCCTGGCGACCGGTGGACTCAAAGCTGCGGCCCTCCAGGCAGGTCAGCTGGCAGGAGCTCCAGGTGGACCACTGTGTCAAATGGCAATCACCTGAAGAAAAAAAATGATAATAATAATAATAAAAAAACATCAAGTCACAGACTGATCCACAAATAATCTTCTTCTGTCATATTGTCAACAATATGAAGTACTGTAAGATTTAACAAGAATCAAAAATAACACATCTGTGAGAGAGAATGTTCTAAATGCAAAAACAGATTAATGGATATGGCCTTCACAGTCAGACTTTACAGTGAGACGTAAAACCGACGAAGAAAACTGAAACAGGTCTCCCTGGGGAGGAAATTGTTTGTCTGACAAAAGCTGGTTGATGTTTTTGTTGTGTTTGTGAGCCAATAAATGATACAGGAGACTTTCTCTCTTGAATGTCAAACACAAATATCCTTTGTGACGCTTGGCAGGGTTTTCCTGCAGCGATAATATCATCCAAAGCCACCGTCTCCCAGCCTGAGAAAGCCTCTGATTCTCTGCCTTGAACATCCATTAGTGACTATCTGTGGACTGAGGCATCTCATTATCTTTCATCTTCATACGCAGACACTCCATCAGCTCTTGTCTTACACAGCTTCATCTGCGGGAACATGCTGCGGCGGGAGCCGCATTAAACAGCTTTAAGCCGCATTTGCACATGACATCTCGCATGTATGTTCCACTGCACTTCTGTTGGACCTTACATTTCACCTGCTGGCACCTTCACACCAACAAACACAAGCATGCACGATGAAGACACACACACACACACACACACACACGTCTGCCCTTGGCATCAAACACTTCTGATCTTCAGCCAAGACTCGCCGGATTGAGTGATGGATCAAGCAGAGGATCACAGAGGAGAGAGATGAGCACAGGCAGCCACTTACTCTTCATAGCAAAGCCTTACAAAAGGCTTCACAAGGCAACATGACTGAGATCGCAGGTCTGAGAAGCCTTTTCATCAATGATAATCAGTGTCTTGTAAAGATGACAAGTATTAAAATGAACTAAAATCTTTTGCTACCTGTGCAGCAGCCATGCAAAGATGCACAGTAAAGCTTCATTACAGAGGGATGAACGTTGACAGTAAAGCAGACTAGCTGTCAGCTGGCCAGCTGCTGCCTCTCTGAAAATAATGTAATGCTCATTTTTTTTTGGCTTACAGAATAAATAAAAAGAAAAACCTCCACTGACACTAAATGACATCAGCGAACTGGTGAGATGCTGTCTCCTTGTTTCTATGGTGATTATTCTAATGAAAAGGTTGATCATTTACAGTGCACAGATTCAATTAGAGAGTATGACATGGATCAGGTATATTACGCAACAGAATGATCGAGTTACGGCAAAATGTTTGATGAATTTACAGATCAGTTAAGAAGTTAACAACCAGTTTACCACAGTAAAAGGTCAGAAGTATTCCACCTGGATATTTGACCACTCGTGGCAGATGTGGTAGAAGTCATTGAAAATGGTATTTTCCCTACTTTTTAAACAGTTTACAAAGTTTTAATAGGAATGAGCTCAGACGTAAACTCAATATGTCAGCTTATTTTCTGCTTTACCTCTTTCAGAATTAGTTTTAAGTGTATTTTGGGTCAATTTCCTCCTGGAACACCCTTAGCATGACGATTTGAGGTCAAGCTGAAGAGAGTTTGTCCTCTCTTGTCATTGTTCCACAGACTTTGAGCAGAAAATTAGCACAATGTTCTGCTAATGTTCATTGCCAGTTCCTGGCTTTGAAACCGGCCCATAGCATGACGCTACCACCAACTTACTTTTATAAGTCCTTGCTCTTAGAAGCCTGACCTTTTGACTAATTTAAAACATTCTTTTGTCATTGTTGTTTAATGAAGGATTATTTGTTTTAATAATGTTTTTGATCTGTCTAAAACCAGTGATACACCTGATGTTGGAGAACCAGCTATTCTCTGCTTTATAATCAAAGCCTGGATGTGATATAGCTCGAACACAGGTGCCGATTAGTGGAAGGTGGGCGGAAAAACAAAATAAGTCTGCATACACCATCTTCATGTGAGGAGGTGAAGCTGAAAGATGAACCGCCTTCTCAGATAATTGGACACTGCATGCCAACAGCTATACTGAGCCACACAAAGTAGAGTCAGATACGGAAGCACAAGTGGGCGGTATGGCAAAAATATCATATGATGATTGTTTTGTAGTCAGATCACTATTTTATCACCAGTAAAAAAAAAAAAAAAGTTAAAAAGAGTACAGAGCCAGAAAAACATGCTGCATCTTAGTATAGAAAGAGTAAAAAATGTTTTCATCGTGCTGATTTTGTTCGAAGCTATTCTCCCTTGAAAAAGTTTCTAAAACATAAATACAGTGAAAATAATCTAACAACAAAACAAGGCCAAATATCCTTTTCTTTTTAATGAAATAATAATACAAAGTGCTATAGAGCTTTAATGATAAAATCATCAAACAATTTAAAAAAACCTTCAGAGTGTTTCAATTTGTATTTTACCTTAAAGATTTTTATCTGTAATTACATCAATTTGTTTTACACTGAAAAAAAGTTTAGGCATCAGATACATTTCTTAAACTAAACATTTAATAGAGTTTCTTAATTTTTTCTAAATACTCCATATAGTGAGTTTTATCCATTACAGTGAAGCCCGGACATGTTCCAGTTTAGAGCAACCTTCTACTAGCACGTGTATTTCTGACTTTATCAAGAAACCTGAATGTCTTGTGGCCCAACCGGAGTCCTGACTTGAAACTAATTCAGAATCAGTGAACAAAGCTAAAGATTAGGGTGATGGCAAGTAGCCATTCCAGTCTTATAGATTTGTAGCTCCTCACTGATGAAATAATCACCATAATGGCAGCGAATGCAAACCTTTCCTATTATTACTCAGCAATAATAGGAAAGGTTTGATTGCTGTAATGACAAGAATGATTTTTCCGCTGATGAATGAGGGTTCAAATGGTTTTTGATATGGCATTTTTCAATAAAATATAGATCATTTTCAAATTTGACAACCCTTTTACACAGTTTTATTAACTTTTGAGAAACGCCGATCTTATTTCCTGTGAGAAATAAAATTGTTAGTTGAATGAATTCAATTTAAAATCAAAATCTGCCAGGGGTATGAACAATTTCAGACGTAACTTCCATAAAGAATAAATTCAATCCAATCTACCCCTGCTCCAGACTAGATTGCTTTTGATGTGGCTTTTATCTTTGCAAATGGAAATTTGTTACTTTCACACACTCTCCCCATGCAGCACTCCCATTGGCATTAATTGTGTGTTTGTGATAAGTGGAATGATTACCAGGGATGAGGTGATTGCTTGAGGCGTGTGATTTGTTAATTATTTCAATTAACACAGAATATTTTTTCATGCTTTATTTGCTTGTGGCTTTTATTACACTAATCACTGAAGAAACAACTAATCTCAAATTATCTGTTTAGTTGTTAAGACTGCAGCTAACTTCTAGAGCTCTGTTTTTAAGACAAAATTCTCCCATTCATTTCTAGGAGAGAGAAAAATGGCTTATCGTGTTTGTCAGGGAGAACAAAGCGGATTATGTTCAGTGAAATGGGCCATTTGTAAAATTATGACTTCTATGAATTTTGCAATTACTTGGAGTCTGAAAATGTCAACTAGTCGAAGGAGAGGGCCATATTTTAGAAAACAGGTACAAATGCTTTATAAAAAAATATTGAGTTTTCAGTTATTGGAACAAGTGATGCACTAATAAATAATTTCTCCAGTCATGCAGTTACGTGCCATCTGATTTAACTCCCTAAGCTGTTTGGTTGTTCTTCTAAACAAAATGCCAATACATTAAAAGAGCAAATATGGGAATCCAATAAAAGTAAAGCGGCTTTGCCTGGGCAGGGGACGAAGCACGGCTGCTCCATTTCCTGCTGGAGTTGCTGCCTCAGCACATCTCCACACAGCTCTCTGTCTACAGGCTGAGGGGGAGGAGACTCGTGCCAGTTCCCCCAGTGGACGACACACGACAGGTTTCTTCTCCGGACCCCCTCTCCGCATTTTGCACCCTGCACAGATACAAATACAAAACATAGATATATATGTATGTATGTATATATATATATATTTTTTTTTTTCAAAACTAGTCAGTGTTTCTTCATCACATTTCATTTTTCTTCTGAGTTTCCACGATGTAAATTAACAGGTGTACATTCTTGACCACATAATGACTCATGAAGACTCATTAAATATTACAATATTGGTCCATGAAAGTGAGATAAATTCACATTTTTCCATCCAGGTACATATTTACTGAGTGTTTGCATTATTATGTAAGATCAGGTGATTATTTGTAAGATTACTAGAATGAAGCCTTGAGGAACTCCATGTGAGATCTTTGTTTGCTTCTGTTTCTAATTGCTAAAAAACACAAAAATCCTAAGCTACTAAATAGCAATTAAACATATTATAAGTCAATTCCACATTTTTCCATTAAATCAGTCAGTGTTTATGATCAACTATTAAACAGTGATATAATCATTGACTATAGTGGGGGAAAAAATGGTATGAAAAGTTAGATTTCTACAGTTTTTAAAATACATTTCAATGATATAAAAATTTCTACTAACATATAAAGATTTTCTTCATGCACGTTACTGATCACACCATTAACTTACTTTTAGCAAACATTGCACTACATTTCTAGCTACATAACACATTTGCCGATCCACGTTTTCCATCTGGCACCAGTCAATTTTTTTCCTCTCTGTTTATTGTTGGTGCATTATTGGCTTGCAGTTTGTTTTTCCCATTTGTAAGTCATTATAATGCGAGAAACCATTAGAACACATGTTCACATATTGAAACTAATTAGGAAAAACCTTTGAAAAATAGTGTTCCACATTATTCTTAATGAGAACAAACAATTCAGTTTAATTACATTCCCTCTTCCACCAAAAAAAATAACCAGATTTATTTTTTCTAATTAAAACAGATCTCCAAATGTTTTGTGAATGCATGCAAAAGTCTAGTAAGAAAAACGTCAGAGCAAAACTGCTGCAATATCCTTAAGATATAAATGTAAAGATCATTTGTGATTTTATTTGCTCACATATTTGTTAAAAAGACTTTCAATCTCTAAAACTATAAAGCAGACTGTAAGCTAATTTACAACTAGAGCGTATTTATAGTCACCAAATTAGAAAACTTGGTAAAGACAACAATTCTCCAAATATTCGAACTACAACCTCCAGCTTGGACTTCTTGTAACCAAATTAATTTGTGCCCACAAAGCAAGCAAAGCCTCGAAGGAGATAGCCAAGCATTTTCAAGTTGCTGTATCCCCAGTTCGGTTTATAATGTATTCAGGTAACAGCAAGAGGTCAAACTGAGGTCTGCAAGTCCGAGAAAACTTCCAAAGAGAACTACCAAGAGATGGCTGGGAAGAAAATTCAAACCCCCTGCTTGACTGACGATGATCTTCCAGACCATAAAGGGAGGACAGAATGAAACACTGTTCAGGGGCATCGAAATGAGTTATAGAAAAAGTCTGATTTTTTAAAAATGAGCTTTTAAAAAGTACATTTTACACATGTAGATAAAAGATGGTGGAAAAAGAGATTTAAAAAAAATGATTTTTTTATTAAACACGTTAAAGTGGTAAACGTCTTATATTAAAAAAATATATTTTTTACTTGTATGTTTTTCTCATCGGAAATGTAGACATAATCATTTTCTGTTGATTTCCAAATGGCTGAAAATTATTGTCACATTTTCTGAAAATGTGACAATAATTTTTGAATCTAGGATCAACAGGACAACGTACAACTTCTTGTCTTCTTGATATAGTTTTATTAAAATTATCAGATTGTTTACAAATTTCAAAATAAAGGCTAAGTAGATTTTGCAGGCAGTCGAATTGTTTTGCTGTAATTAGTTTTCTTAAGTCCCATCACAGACAATCTGTTAAGTCTCCAAACATCAGAACTAAAAGCAAGAAAAGGAAGGCTTTGAAGTGCCTTAAAGTTTGTAATTGTTTCCAAGAGTGATAACAAGATGTGACACTTGCAAAGGAGAGAGATACAAAGTCACAGCCTCATTAAGTTCCACGGCTTTAGATTTTAAACTTGTTAAATTTGCTAAACTTAAAGATGGATATTTTTAACCCACTTAGCCATTCAGAGTCACAGCTTTTGATTGCGGGTGGAGAGAATAGTGCGCGACTAATTTAAGCAAAATGAACATTTTTTAATATCAAAGTAGGTCATACCTCCACAGCGCACGGAGACCAGTCATTCAGCAGCCACATATAGCACGGCCTTATGGAGCACGGCTTAGTTTGGGAGAGCTGGCTGGGGCAGGGACGACCCTCCTCGTGAGCCTCCTGAAGGATCCTCCGTGTGCGGACAGAGTGACCTACATAACGTCAAGACCAACGCCACATTTTGAAGAACAGTTACACGGATCCAGAGAACACCTGCAAGCTGCAGCCTACTTTCAAAATTAAATACTTTCTATGGTTACATCTGTGAGACTCCCACAGCGGTGACATTTTAAAGTACTACTGTAAGTTGGCATGAATAAAAGAATCTGCTGGAAATATATAAAGTGTAGTATTTACACTGAACTACATCCAAAAACATTTGAAGATTTAAAAACGTGCAAAACCTGAATCTTATAAGTATGAGTGAATCAAACTGTTCAGAAGTAAAAGCCGGCTCCATCTTCTAGTTTTTACAAGAAATGTTTTTTTTTTATACATAGAAGAATTAGCACAACTGTCAAACACATGAGTCATTTTGCCACTTTATCCTCAGAACTAGCAGTTTTCTACCAAAGTGCCTCGTTCAAGAGGGCCATTAATAATCTGTGAAGGGAATTGTTGGCAACCAGCCATGGAGTAGTGTGTTGTAGAGAAACACATACAGAAAAAACTTTCATTCTATCCTAAGAAGTACATTTATCAGAGAAGTAACATTTCTTCCAGTAATGATCTTTCAGATACTAAATGCATTTGTTTCATTTCAAAGGTAGAAGCCGTCACAGCAGCCGTAAAATGTAGCCCAACTGATAGACAGCTGTGGACTCTAAAGTGGTATATTGAAGTTTTTAGTTGAAAATTGAAATTGTGCACGTGGGTTCACATCTGGACTCGGATAGGACCGTTGCTTTTGTAGCTCAAACTGTACAAGGTCATCCTTCCGCTCCAGCCTCAAGACTTTGTCTCCAACAGGTTTTCTTCTGGGACTGCAGCGTTTTTGTCTCTATCCAGCTTCCCAGCAGCTCTGCATGACGCTGCTATCACTTTGTGTCATCAAAAATGTCGCTACTTTCAAGGTCCATTGTTTCTACTTTACAAGGACAGACGTGACTCTTTATCCGTATAATTTACGTACCTTGGTTCCTAAGTCTACAGAATCCTAGGAGGCTGAGAGATAAGCATTGCTTCAGTTGGCAATTCAACAGAAAGTACGTTTGTGTGTTTTTAGGGGTTTTGTTGTTCTGTAAGGCCCCAGGCACACACACACAGTAAAGAGTAGTTCAGCTCCACCAAAAAAAGAACAGGGAGAAAAAATAAAAGAATCAAACCAAAAACACTGATGTTTCCCCGGTGTACCCACAAAACAAAACAAAACAAAACATGATCTTTGCATCGCCTGACACAGATATGACACAAATCAAGGCTGAAAGACGTATTTGTCTATTTGGAAGAAGGAGCTGGGTGAGCGGCAAAGAGAGTCGCAGCGGCCGTGACAGAGCTTCGGGAGGCACAGCGAGAGAGAAAGCCTCCGGTTTAAATCCCCAGCCGAGAGCAGCTGCAAGTGTGAGCTTTAGGAGCAAGAGGTTAAGTTTGAGCTGACAGACAGCCAGTGACAAATTAAAATTAATGAACTTGAGGAGGCAGCGCTGAGTCCCTCTAATTAGCTGGATAACAAGCTTCCTCTTTGGGAGGCTGACTTTGGGAAGCCAGGGAAACAATATATGGATCCAGGTTAAATCATTACTTTTGTATATTGCATGAGGTCAAGACGCCTCTCTCAAAAGCGATTGCCGACAAGCCAGGCTGGTGATTACGGACTTCATCTTTAAGCATGCTACATAATTTATGTTATCCGAACAGGTGAGCTGCATGGGATTTAGCTGTAATTAACCTCGTTAAATATAAACAGAATTCAGAGGTTCCTATGTTAATAAGGGATTTCTGATTTGTATGCTATAATGACAAACTGAGACCAATTCCTACAAGAAAATACAGTGGATAGTTTTACTGTGTAATAAGGCTGTGGATTGCATCAGCTTGCAAATATTTCAATGCATTTAAATGTATTCATGCACAATTCAGCACCTTGGTGACTCCCTGAGTAGATGAGGTAATTAAGTGCTAAATATGTGGTTCACCGCACGTCTGCTCAACAGGTTGCATTTATTGCTGTTTTTTTTTCTTTAACTAGGTTGAAGTTTGTTTTCTCATAATGCTTACCTTGGGTACCACAGGTGTGCGAGCAATCCGCCCACGGCGACCAGTCAGAGAGGATGCAGCTGACAGGACAGTCAACAACGCAGCTCTCCAACAGCTGCAACTTGTTGATCAGACCAAACTGTAGGAAACAGGAGCCGAGCTGAGTGGAGGGCCTGCTAGTCATTTCCAGCAACAAGAAAAGTAAAAACAAACAGCCAGATTTTCACATTTCAAATGAAGCTGCGGCTTACTGTAGGATGGTGGAGATGCAGCAGTTTAATGAATCCAGCTAATTTTAACTGTGCCTTCTGATAAATGCATCTCAGGCCTTTAATATAAGTATGAATATATTTAACATAGAAAAAAAAAATCTTGCGTTCCTCTGATCTGAACTCTTAAGAATAATCTGGCATAGATTTATGAAATAAGACTTTTTTTCTTTCAATGATTACTGAGAAAGATATAAACAACTTTCAACTTGCTTAAAAATGATTTTGGATTTTAATTTTAACTCTTTATTGCTAAAAATAAAGTTATTAGTTGAATGAAAAACACGTATGAATGATTTTGGGTTTATTGGTCCTTGTCCAAATCATTTACTAAAAAAAATCTGGCCTCTGTTCATTCTGTTGTTTGACAGAAAGTCATAGATTTCTAATGAGGAGACCCCACATTCTTTGACATAAAATTAATAAATATTTAAATTATTTTATTTATTTTTAGTGAAAAAGAAATAAAATTGGATGAAACAAGAGCTACAAAAGGTAATAAAGTTATTTTCTTCACTGAATAAATGCACTCCAACAAAGCCTGGATTTTCAAGAAAAATAAAGCAACGTTTTTTTATTTTATACATATTTTTTATTAGAACTTCCAACAAATTTGTTGTGTCTGTTAATAGTTGCAAATCCAGAGCGGGATTCTCTGCTTTTTGCTTCATCGCAGTGAGAAAACCATTTGTCTTTCCAGAATTGAGATAATACCATTAAGCTCTGTTGACCTACTGGCAAACTGCTTCCTGAAACATTGCTTCCAAGATTAGAAGCAACATTTACACCTGAGCATGAAAAGACAAGCCTTTCAATAATGTGTAATCTATGGCAGTATTCTTTATAGGACTATTACCTGTTGGCACTTCTGCAACTCCACCATTTTCCCATCACTCTGCACACAGTCCAGGAGACGTGACCGCGACCCCTGACCACAGATGGCGTTTTCACTCAGCTGGCAGGTACTCCAGTCTACACAAAAGCATCATTACATCTGCATTAGCACTTTTTCTTTTTTGGCAATGAAGGCTTACACACACACACACACACACAAAGATGAGTAACTTTATCAACAGATCAGGCAACTTTTTAGAAGGAATTACAGAGACAGACACAAACACAGTTATTTAGAAAAATAAATATTAGGAAATGGACAAGTGGAATGTGTGATAAGAAATACTTAAAAAAATGTTTGCGATAGATATCTACTATCAAGCTATATATTTGTTAGAGAAAGAAAAATCATCTTCAGTTGCTGTTGCTAAGTTTGTGTGCTAGCATACAGTAAAAGAAAAATGAACGGCTACTCTGAAATACGCAGTTTTTTCACACAGCATACTGCCAGAGATGTCACAGGTTTTGAGGGAACATGCAGTTGGCATGCCGAGTGCAGGAATGTCCACCGGAGCTGCTGCACGTGAACAGACTGTCCATTTCTCTACCACAAGTTGTCTTCAAAGGTGAGTTTTGGCAGTAGGAGTTTTATTTACATCAGTGTATGTAAACTTTTGGATTTGAATAAGTGCTCTCAGTATTGTGGCATTGAAACACTTACGGCAATCTTAACTCACCTCAGACATGAAGTGTTTGGCCTGTGCCACTGCAGACGTCGAGACAAAAAGCTTATCTGTCCTTAGTGTGTAAATATTTAGCTTTAGCTGCATGTGCGGCATACGTAGGCATATGAGGTAAGCTGATGCTGGAGCATCATTTATCTAAGGCAAAGGACATTTCTATGCCATCAACATGCAAGAGATAGAATTTTACTTCTAAAACAACTGCGCTCGCAACTAACAAAACCCTATTTGCTCCTGTTTGATGCAATTTATAGTCTTAGTCAGCCACTATGGCTCAAACAGCGATATAACGAAGATGGACTACAGGGCAGCTGCTCATTTGGAGTTTAAGAGAGTATCCACAGACATGGCTGTTAAAGCAGGTAACACTTAACCCTTTTAGGAGCCACCAGAGGCTGCAAACCTGAATATTCATCCAGAGATGCACACTGATCTATGCAGAAAATAAAGACACAGGAAGCAAGCGTCTTTCTAATATCATCTCCAGACACATGGGACACAAAATTAGATTTGAGAGCGCAAGTAAATGAATATGAGATTAAAACAGATTGCAAGCAGATGTATATAAAAGGTGTTTCATTAGTTTCACAACTTGATCAGGTATGTGTGGCTCACCCTACCTGAGACTCTGTACTGGTATGTGAAACAGGTACTGTTGAGAAGACAAGGTTCTGATTGGAGCAGGTCGGGACAGGCCGCGTTCTCCATGGCGGGGAGGCGGAGGATCTGTCTGCTTCTGTTCCTCGCGCTGCCAGCGTCGCACTGCTGCACAACGACGACAGCACCAAAAAAAAAAAAAAAACAAAAACTAGCTTAGTTTAAGAGACAACAGTTGAAGGATGAAGCCAGCTGAAATTAAACATGCTCTCCGCCTGCAGATTTATCACAAGCTGGCTCGAATCTTGCAAAAATGCCTTCGAGAATCACTTCAGAAATCTGAGAGAAAGTGCTTTTTAAGTTTCTTAATATTCTCTAACCCTCCATTTTGGGAAATTCACTGCAGTTGCGCTGGGATTAGTAGGTAATTTAGAAAACAGTGTGAATGAACAAATGATGAATTCATCCTATCAAGATAACTGTACTTTACTGACATTAATTTAATTTATTTCTATGGTAATTTGTCACAGACCTTAGAAGCAAATCCCCCTGATCCATCATTTCCTTACAGAGTCTGAATACATTTTCCTGCTGCCATTCTTTTTCTGAAGAAGTAATTTTCAAAGGACACAATATAATGAATGTTAATTTATTTGTTGTTGTGAGGATAATTTCAATACCCTTTTAAAAACTTGACAAGACATTCTATTGTAATGATTTCACTCTTACATTTCAGAGAAAATCTATGGGAACAAACCTGAAAATGAAAAACAAACCATGTTGAACTGAAAGTTAAGGATCTGAATGACAAGGAGGCACTTGTAAAGATTAACATTCTAGAAAAGTGTAGTCAGTCCAAAGAACAAGCTACTTTCAGATGAAAAAGTAAATCTTTACCACATTAATCAAGTCATCATATTAAAAGTAAACGGTTTTAGTTCTCCCAGCTGAGCTGCGGTTCTTGCAGCTTGCTGAAGATCTCTCAAAGTTTGTAAAGTAAAAAATTATAGCACTATGTGCAAAAAAGTGATTAAAAGGTTTTAAACATTTAATATCTTTTCTATACTGCAAAGCTCTTTTGTTTGTATTTTATTTAGCATAAATCCTGATTTAGTCCTAAAGCTAAAAGCTTCTTCAAGACAAACAAAGACCAAACCAGACATCTACCATCTAAGACAACTCAAGTCTCATCAAGCCATTGTGGTTTAAGTGAGGAATATTTTACAAACCTGCAAATTGTCAGTATATAACAGATAAGCTAATATTTTTGCACATGTAAAACTGAGGCTGTGGACAGTATGCTAACATTAAACGGGTACTCTGAAAGTACGAGGTAACTTTATTCTCACAGTAAGATCACTGGGGCGCACTTCATAAAAAACTCTATTCAATCATTGGTTTCTGTGCAAATTCCAGATCCTCATTTCAAAATCCCTTATGATCCTTTGAAAGAATTATTTGAAAACTAAACAAATGCATCCCCCTAAAATATTTGTGTGTTTTGCATTGTACTCTGCCTCCTCTTTACTTTGCATTTATGAGCAGCACATTCATGTATACAGAGATGTTGATGATGCCTGTGATTAGACCACACCCAGGATATCCTGAGCATCACTCTCCAAGACTGCGCCACGTTGCAGCTGTGTGCTGCTAAAGCACATATCGCAAACACAATGCTGGTTAAAAAAGATGAAGCAGACATTTTTGAGACCTTGTCACAATTCTCCCTCAGTACACAGAAAGTTTCTGAGCTGCCAGTATAAACTTCAGCAGCAATACAAAAAAACAACAAAACTCCTTCTCATACCTAATGGGGCCGTTGCATCATCATTAATAATTAAACTATCAGCTTTCACAATCACATTACCACCAGCATAAAGATGAATAGAGGGAAGGTTTTCTGCGCAGAAACTCGTCCAGCCTTCTTTCTCCCCATCATCCAGAAGGCCTGGCCATGACAAGAACAAATGCTCAATCTTGTGTAAAAAAAAAAGAAAAAAAGTGAGCGACGGACAACCCAATTGGTTGTAGTCAGATTGTTGCAGTCACATGGTGTGCAGAGAAGCCACACTTATTCCTAAGAAAGCCGAAATGGGGGCCTGAAGTGCTCACAGCAGACGTTCTGCTGGCGTTTGTAGGCTCCAGGTCATATCGGTGCCTCTACATTCCTCTGGCTCCACCCAGGGCCCTGATACGGTGGTAGCATGAAAACACACCACCACAACATCATTAACGACGATTAGCGCTTGTTCAAAATCCTCCACAACTCGTCACCCTCTATTGAAAGCAATGGGGAGCCTATTATGACCTTGTTATGCCCTAAAACACCTCAAAAAGACCAGCTGGCTGACTTTCTCCAGCACAGAGTAAATCCGACGTGTAGGGGTCTTAAAGCGGCGAGGGATTAGTTTAACACTGATTCATATTGCAATACGAGTAGGAAGCTCGACAAATAATTATAAGACACTCAAAATGTATTGGAACAGTGACTTGAAAGTGCAGCTGAATCAGCTTCTTGAGATTAGGAAATTCTATTAGACGACCACACTGTGAACATTTCTTGCTGAAGAACTAAATGTGTAATTGTTAATATTTTTAAATCTAATGTACATAATTTGGAAAGTGCAGAGATTTTATTTTTTACTTCTACTCTTATTCCAAACTGATAAAATCTCTTGACTGAATCTAGCTTCTTCGGACTGAGTTGAACCTGCTATTTTTACTGCATCACTTTTGTTGTCAGATACCAAATCAAATGCAAAGGGGCATTTTTAGTGACGTCTTATATTAGCATAATATATACTCGTACGTATTTAAACAAAAAAATTCTCAAAATTATTACAAGAAATCAGTTCTGAAGATTAATGGCGTTTTATGCAAATATAAAGTCACTGATACTGATCTGAGGTAAATCTCACCATCTGAGAACTTTGCAGCCAGATGAATGAGAGGGTGATAATTACCTAGGGAACAACTGTCACAGCAGAGCACAGCCCTACCTTCAGGAAGAACTAGCATGGTAGGATAAATTAAAGTCCCATTAGTAGAACATGGAAGTCGGTTGCCAGAGGAAGAGGCTGTGCGGATCGAACCTGAGCTTCTGATTAAAGAGGAAAAGAGTTCGCAGTATCTGTCCCTCTGCACCTGACTCACGACCAGATGCACCTCAGTCAGTGTCACCGGTTAATGAGAACTCTTCTGTGTGGCTCTCATAAATCAGACAGAGTCATTGTTCTGTTTGTGTTCACACTGTCACAGCCTCCAACTCACGCATTTATTCTCTCTATGCATGGTGTTTCCTGTACAAGGTGCCACAAATCCGTCCTCAGCCATTAAATAAGACCATATAAAGCCAAAATCAATACAGCTACAAATAAAAAAAATATTATTTTTCCATCATAATTTCTGTACATGTACATATCCCCATTTTAAGCAGAACCTAAATCAAATTTGCTGAAAAAAACCACCAACAGATAAGCAAACACATGTTCTTCCATTTCCATGTTTTGATAACTGTAATTAATCCAACATTATTTTCCATCTGGTGCAAACTGCTTCAGGGTAATTATATTTCAGGACAGATTATAGCATAATTTCTCATGTCTTATAGTGCTGCTGAAGGTTGCAGAATGAATGCCTGAATGAGATAACATGTCTGTCAGACCAAAACGTAAAAGAAACCCTTCAGATTAATTAAGTGATCTCTATTGTTCCTTTCTCTTTATTCTGTTCTTTCTCTAACTCCAATGTTCCGGTTCAGTGAACTGCTGTTTCTGACAGAAAACCTATAACGTTACTGCATGGCCGTGTGACCACTAGCCTGTGGCTACGACACTGGGGAACATGCTGTGTTAAAGCCTGAGGCCTAACTTTCAGAAGAGAATGAAAACATGAATTTACTTACACCAAAAATTATAGAATCTGTGTTAAAGTGTGATTTCTTGGTTAAATGGATAATAACAGTGACACCATGTTGAAATATAACATCTGCATAAGTTGAACTTTTCAAGTATAAAATTCCATTCTGCAAAAATGTGATTTAAAATCAAAGATGTAGACAGAAAAGTGAGATCAACTGTGTCCTGAAATATAAATAATTTACAGTTTTGCAACAGTTTTGAATGAAAATCTGTTTTGAATTTTTAAACATACAAAACGTTTTAACGATTCAAGGTTTTAAACACACACAACCTCAAAGACATACAGATGATGGTTACTGTTATACACATCTGTAAAAGAACGCTTCGCTTTCAGAGGCTCAATGAAATCCAGCATGGTCCAGTTCTGAAATTTTCTTGCTTTTAAATATTCCACATTCAACTGACTTTTTTCTGAAGGACAGGAACTCCAGCACAAAACAGTGGGCTGTGCAAAATCAGGGTTTGCTGACGCTAAGGCACACAATGTTCAGAAGTTGACAAGTTCTGCAGAGTGACTGGCTACAGACCTCCAAACTTCACATGGCCTTCAAATAATGGAACGAGCAATGCTTAAAGAAATGCAATGACTGTGTTTACACAGCCAAGCAGCTGCACCCAAGTCTTAGATCCCCCAAGAACAATCCAAAGGATCAGATGCAATGGTATAAAGAAAGCCACCAATAGATTCTTGGGGATTAAAGACTCATTTATCAGTTGGAAAGAGAACAATTTTTTACTTTGTGGCTTAAGTCAAGTGTAAGGTTTATAGCTCACGTTTGGTGCAGGACTGTTTTTTAAGAGTTGGGCTTAAATCCAGTTCAAGTTCTTGTAAAGGGATGTCATAATTCAGCATATCGAAACATTTTGATATGCTGAATTAATTTTAGATTATATTGATTTATTTAGTTTTATTTATTTTCCTATTTAAGACACATAGTAGGAGCAAAACTTATATATATACAGTATATGTGTGTGTATATATATATATAACTATGTTTTAACTTTCTACTAAAGCTCAAAATGTACCAGGAAAAGCAATTATTGGCTCTTACCGGAGGGCAGTTGCTCCATGCCCCCCAGGCTGACACAACGCAGTCATTAGGACAGGCTAAATAGCAAAGCTGGGCCCTGGGAGGCATTTCCTCTGGATCACACATACTGCCGTCTGGGCTGCCATCCTCCCTGCTTGCTGTTCCCCTCATCACACACCTATAAAAAAAATAAATAAAAACATAGCACTAGAAGCAGCTTTATAACAAGTCTCGAGGGGCTGACATCTCAGTCCACATGGACTGAGACTGATCTTAAAGATTTTGACTCGGTGGATTGCTAAAAATTTGAAGTAATCTTATTTTAAGTGTTTAGTTTATATCAGGCCTTTTAAGTTTTCTCTGCTTTTTTTAAAAATAAATATATATTTTTTATCAAAACTGAAGCACGAGGTCAAAATGTTTATTTACTTTCCACATGAAGCACTGGAATAATTTATTCACTCATCGATTTATATTCCCGTTATGTAAATAATTCCTAGTGTGCTTCTGTTGAGGCCTGGTAGTTTTTGACCCAAGGGGAACAAGTTATAGAAATTTTAAAAAATCACATTGATCATTATTATTTATTATTATTAAGGACTATGCTATTATCCATTTGACATTTGGAGAGTGGCTAATCATAAACAAGTTTGCAAGAAAGTGACTGTTATTACTTTTCATAGATATCACTCAAGGTTTTGTTTTCCATATGATTTCATCTAGAATCTTCCAGTCTCAACAACTTATTATCTCCTACACAGAGTCTTGCCTGGCATTTCTGACTGCTCATTATCTAAAAAGTTTGTTCCCTTTTTACTAAGTCATATAGAGCTATTTACGTCTCTCTCTCTCTATCATTGAACTTTTTATATTTAAACTTTTTTCACTTGGAAACCACAAACTTGACTCCGGTCAATGATGATTCCATTACTTATAAACCAACACAAATAACATAAATAGTTCCAAGTAGATGCAGAGTGATACATGTACTGGAACTTATGATGAATGCAAAACTGGATTGTGTTCAAAAATAACACTTTTTTTTGCAAGATGTGCAGAAGGACTTGTTTGCCGTAAACCACATAGAAGGACGTTCTCTGGTCAGTTGAGACAAATATACATGGCTATGTGCTGAACTCTATTTCCCTGCAGAAAAACTCATCATAAACTCGCCACTGACACCTTGATACCCTAAGCATCCAGCCACAGGCACAATTCCAACAAATCATATTAACGTGTTAGAATTGTCGAGTCAAATTCCTAACCCTGAAAATTGTTGTTCAGAGATGCTCTTCAGTCAGGCTGAGTGAGCTTAGGGTTTGTTTTTTTGTTTTGTTGCAAAGAACAGACTAGAGTTTCTAAAAGGTTTCAGCTCACTGAAGTAAATGCAGCTCTGTGCAGTTTTCAGCTTTTTTTTTGTTGTGATAAGTATCACTGCGCCAGAAGTGGCACATTTGACCTTGTATATAAAGAAGTTTTTGTCATTTTTATTCCACTACGTAATAACGCATTTTGTGTTGGTCTATTACAAAAAACAAATCTCATAAAAATACTGTGGTTATAACAGTAATAACAGTGGTCTGTGGTTGTAATGTGAAAATATGCAAAACGTTCAAGGGGAATGAATGTTTTTCTTAGATATCGTAGATTTTGTTTCTGCTTCTTTAAGAACAGCCGTAATAACAGTACAGCTTTATTTAGGTTTCTGTTTCCTCTGTTGCTTTCTAAGTGCCAAAGAAATGCAAAGAATGTGAAAATTAACTATCAGCATTCGTTGTGAAGCAACAGCTTGTTACGGAAGCGCATTGCTATCATGCAGGAAAAAAAAAAAT